TTATGTTGGTATTAAAAATAAATAATTATTTTAAACATTTGTAAAATATTGAAGAAATTTCGAGGGGGGTGGTCCAGACACTCTGTCAGACACTTCTGGATATTAAGAAATTTTTCTTTGTATTTAAATGTATCTAATATCTCATGGGCCAATTGCGCAATGTTTGGTGTTTTCATTTCTTTCATTATAACGCTATTATATTCCTCCATTAATTGCGGAATAAAAATAAAAATTTCTTCCTAAGAAAATTTTCAATTACTTGTTTGTGTTTTTGATAATTAACTATAATCCTCCTAAATTATTAAACTGGAAACAATGCCAATGTACTTTCCAAAATTATTCTGATCTTGGTCTAAACTTATAACTAGGCCTGAGGAGTTGTTGCGTTTGCAACTTTTTTCTGTTATTTGAATTTATTGCTAAGTAGATTATAAATTCATTTCGTGCAAGTATTAATTAATAAATAAATAAATTAGTGAATTAATTATTTATTAATTTAATTTTATCTAAAAAAATGTGAGTGCAAATTTATGTAATTATTGACATTTTTTCGATTTGATTCCAATTTTGTTGATTCTCCTCAAAATTTAATTAATATGTTTAATTATCTAATTAATTTGTTACATAGGATTAAATTCGATTGGATGACACGGAGAGAAGTTCCGTGCATATTATGAGATAAGAGAATTCCAATGGGGCTGAAAGATAAATTTTACAATAGTGTAGTGAGACTAACTATCATATATATGGTTCGAAATGTTGGGTGGTTGACAGGAGAATAGAGTAGAGTATGAGTGTTACATAAATTAGAATGCTTAGATAGACGAGTGGAGTGTCAAGATAAAATAGAATAAAGAACGAATATGTTAGAAATAGTAATGGTGTAGCGTCGATAGTAGAAAAGATGAGAAAAAATAGATTGATATGCAGAGGTGGGACTAAGAATTTTTACGCCTGGGGAAAATGTTAAAATTAGGCCCTATAATAGATCAATAATCAAATACTTTACTTGAGATTTTTTTTTCAATAAAGTTAAAAATATCAAATTAGTTGTTAATAATTACAAAAATTACACCTTCTAAAATGTTACGCCCTGGAATGATTCTCGTCTTCCAGCCCTAGTTCCGCCCCTACAATTGTGTTTTGGGCATGTGATGAAGCGAGAAGAAACAAAAGCAGTAAAAGTAGTTATGAAAATTAACGTTGAAGGGAAAAGAGGAAGACCAAAAAAGAAATGGTTGGATACGATTGAGAATTATATGAAGACTGTTGGTGTGTGCGTTGAAGATGTAGAAAATAAAGTTTAGAACAAGGGTGGCCGACCCCAAATAGTTAGGAGAAAGGCGAAGGAGAAGAAGAAGAAGATTTAATTAATTTGTTATTGAATTAATGAATTCACTAACAAAAAAATATTAGTTATTTAGCTATAGACATTTTATAGGTTCGAAATGTTTTAATTAAGTTGGTAATGTTTATAGGTACCTACTTGATTATCTATTAGATTTTGATACGAATATTTTAACATAAAATAATAAATAAATATTGTGATTTTAGACTTTTTTTTGCTCATACATTACCCTTAATTATGTACCCAGAATAGGATCCAAAATAATTTATTCCATTTTTTTTATAAAACAGAATAATTATTTTTATATTTTTTTATAAAACATAAAATTTTTATACTTTTTTTTCCCGGCTATACGATCCATCGAGAATCTTTACCGCCAAAACTACCTCCTCCCATTTCTCTCTATCATACGCTATTACTTGCTAATCCGCCCCACCATGGTCTGCCTCATTCCATTTCTCATTTATACCATCTATCCATCTTCTTCATGGTCTTTCCCTTTGTTTCCTCCCCGCTAACGTCCAAATTATTACTCTTTTTATTAGACATCCGTTCGCTCGCTACGCATGTCCGGCCCATTACATTTGAAATTAAAAGTGGACTACGACAAGGGGATGCCATGTCATCCATACTTTTTAACATGGCATTTCAAAGAGTGGTCTGAGAGATGTCAAACTGAGAAGCTAAGTCACCTGATGATGGAATGCTACTTGCATACGCAGATGATATTATAATCACTGGAAATACTCGAACAGAAGTTCAAATAAATCTGAAGAAATTAATAAAGGCAAGTAAGATTATGAGTCTAGCAGTAAATGCGGAAAAGACAAAATATATAGTAGTAACAAGAGGACCAGAAGATAGCTCCAAACTTAAAGTAGGAAATAATGAATTCGAACAAGTTAAAGAATTTAAGTACCTAGGAGTAACTCTTAACAACAAAAATATTTTTATGCTCTAAAGTTTGAAAATTGATTACAAGATTTTTTACAAGTTTTATTTATTTATTTATTTATAGGAAATATTTATGTTTGTATTAAAAATAAATATGTATTTTAAACTTTCGTAAAATGTTAAAGAAATTTCGGAGGGGGTCCACACACCCTGGACCCCCCAGATACGGCCTTGTGCGTCATAATAATCCTACGGGTGGCTGCACAGTGTTGTTCTCTGGAGACTTCCGTCAGATCTTGCCTGTGAGTACAAGAGAGACAAGAGCTGATGAAGTCAACTCGTCTTTAAAAAATTTGAAAGAATATGTACATAGCATATATATATATATAGATATACAAATACAAGTTTATTTTAATTAATAATAACTAAATATTTATTAACTTTATCGGACTAAACTCATGCCTAAAACCTTCACTGTGATGTTCTTTTTAATTTAAAAAAAAACTCATCCAATAAGTATTTTCAGAATTTACTCCGAACAAAAAAGAGCGACTTCATTTTATATAGTAGTATAGAAGCAGTGTTTGAAATGGCTCAAGATAAGTGGAGGGATGCCTTATAATTCAGATTTCCTGATATCATCATAACATTCTTCACACATTGTGTACCTATATTTTTTTTTTTTTTGTAGTTCACATGAAGTATATTATCTTAGTCCGTGGCTCTAAATACGGGTATAATATGAGTTGCGAAACGGCTTATACTAAACAACACTATAAGCCAGGCGCCCGGGTCTGAATGTTAAAAATAATTATTTTCACTGGAAAAAAAATGTCTTATATATAAATATAAAAATTATAAGTATATCATTTTAAAATATGAGTCTTAAGAGGAATGCGTTATTCTAGACAAAACAAGAAGAGAGATGCCATCCCTCCGTATCACCCTCCCCTCCACTTCGAGCACTGTAAAAAAGTATAGATATAGATATAGATTTGAATTATGATACTGCTGCAGGTTTTGATGGAGTATCTGTGAAAACACTAAAGACTAATGCTACAAATATTATTGAATCTCTAACATATATTTATAATCTAAGTATTTCTAAATATACATTTCTTCATAAACTTAAACTAGCAATTATCAAACCATTATAAAAAAATGGTGACTCAATGAATATTAATAATTATAGACCAATTGCAAAAAAAAAAAAATTGGCGCCCCTCTAAGGGCTTATCCACGGAAAAAATAGGAGATAGTTCATGAGCCTTTAAGATATTCTAAAATCAATGCTATTTTTGTCAGGCACGCGATAACATAATACGCTGTATTATTATAAATAACTTATGTTTATTGACATTATCACAACAAATTTGGGAACTGATATTAGGTATATTAATAATATTCTGGATTGCTGATTGTTATAGATTAATAATATATATTATATTATATTACATTATATATATATATATATATATATATATAATACATATTCTTTAATTCAGGCTCAAAATTTACAAGTTAAATTTTGGTAATATTTAAATTGGACGAATCCTTAATATTTGTGGTTTTTTTTAATCTAAAGTCAGATTCACTTAGAATGGACTTTTGTGTAATTATTTTGTAATACCTGTTTGTGTTTTGAAAGTTACGCTTGTGTTTTATTTGATTTTTCACTAAGTATGGACCCTACAAAAAGCCCAATTCAGTATTCATAGATACGCGTAATTTGATTTCATTATAAATTTATCTACATTAAAAAAAGTTATAATGTGTATCTCACATACCTACTCGTTCAATCGATTCCTTAAATACGTATTCGGGGGGGGGGGCAATTACCCCCCTGCATTAATTTATGATACTGTTATTCAAAACAAAAAAATAATAATTTCAAAATAATTTTAAAAGTTCAACAATTCACAAATGAGCAAATTTCCGACCACAAAATGTTGGCGCCCCCTAAAAACTGGCGCCTGGGGCAGTTGTGGCCAGTTCCCCCTTAAATGCGGCCCTACGAACCCTATTAATAAATCTCACCGAGTCAATATGCAATACCATCAATATCGAAACAATAAATAAAAATTTTTTGAAAAATTTGCCACTGTGCTTGTATATAAATACGTCACTGTATGTAATTACTCAATTTATAATAATTGTCAATATTTCAATGGTTATTAAATTATGTATAAATTGCAGAATAATAATTTAAAAAATAAAATACTTTTATGTTATGATTATATTATAACCACTCATTAAATTCCATAGACATTGTTGTTGGTTTTGTTTTGCTTCATTTCAACAAGTCGTACAAATTCATTATTTTTTAAATTAATACGTCGAAGGAACATTTCTACTTAACTATAAATTTAAGATTCGTTTTCCATTTATTTATTTTTTATTTGAAAACTTTGTACTTAAAAAAAAGAAAAAGTGAAATATAAAATGCATTTTATATTTTTTTAAAAACCATATTGATTTTATTTTGTAATCAAATATTTTTACAAGACTAAAATAAAAATGTATTAACTAAAAATAAAATATTAAATATTACTTTTTCTTTTTACAAAAATTTAACATGTTGTAAATACAATGTATTACAATGTCTGCAATTTGATTCATTTTGATATTTCCTCTTTCCATAGAATGAATAGCATAACATGTAGAAATATAATTATCATGGGAGAAGGGAAATAGAGAAATAATAAACACAAGTATTCTTATTTTACAGATTTTTATAAATATGAAAAAGTGAACAATATTCTAAAGAAAATAATATTTTTTATTTGTTAACAAGTATTTTATTTTCCTAATCCACCCATTAAATTACCAAGACCTCCTCCAGCACCTTGTTGTAACTGTCGCATAACATTTTGTAATCCGGGCATACCACCTATAAATTAAAAATTAAAAACGTAATAGAAATAAATTTATCTTTATAAACATTATTTAACAGAATGAATTACTATTTAATGCAAATCAGATACACATATACATATTTCATTATTAACTTAATGTAATATAACTCATATTAATAATTTTACTTTCCAAAATGAAATAATATTGATTGACTCATGTTAAAAAACGAAAAATACAAATTTTTTACAATAAAATTATAAAACAAATTTTAACAACATTTTAAAAAAAAAGTGTAACTTTATTTACATAGTAAACAGCTTTTACTTAATTATTATACATTCAATCAAACCATAATAAATAAAATGTAAATTAAATCATACCAATTTGTTGTAAGACTCTGGGATCCATCATTTTTGTGATTTGCTGATTGAGTTTTGCCATTTGTGATGGATTAACATTCTTAGACATATCGCCACTTTTGAATAATCCTTTGATTCCACCCATTTTTTTTACTACACCAGCAAACTTTGTATACTGTGATATAAGCTCTCTTACTTCACGTTCTGTTACACCGGCTCCTTGAGAAACTCTAATTATACGTCCTGGTTGTTTTGTAAATAACTTTGCTCCATCTCTATGATCTAATTCTATAAAATGTGTATAGTAAATTGTTTATCGTATAATTTATTAACACTTTTTATTAAATATCAATAAAATAATTTACCTCCATCATTCATACTGTCCATGATTGTCATAAGTTTTTTTAATCGAGCCATTGATTCCATTTCACTACCTTTAGATAAAAAGTCTTGACTGAATCCTGGTATCATTCCCTAAAATAAACAATAAAATTTAAAAACAATCTCTTTAAATGATAAGGTAAAATTATAAATAATTTACCATGATTTGAGAAAATGGACCCATCTTCATAATATTTTGGAACTGTTCATACATATCTCTGATTGTAAACTGTCCATGTTTTATTTTCTCGATCAGCTCTTCATTATCTTCCAATTTTAATTCGTTTACTTTGTCAATAAGTCCTTCAATATCTCCCATACCAAGTAGTTTAGACACAAATGGCTTTGTTTTAAATGGTTCAAAATCATCAATATGTTCACCAGTACCAATGAAAATAATTGGACTTTTTGTAGCTGCCACACTATTTAAAAATTCGGTTTTTTAATTGTATATTAAAAATATAAAATCCAAATATACTACATTAAAGAATGAATAAAATATAGTACATCGTTAAAAATAAAAATAATAAAAACATACGCGCTTAGCGCACCTCCTCCTTTTGCATGACCATCAAGTTTAGTGATAACTACAGAACCAATATTCACTTTATCTTTAAAAGCTCTAGCTTGCCCTTCACATGCTTGACCAATTGTTGCATCCATAACAAACACAATATTATCTGGTTTCTAGGGCAAATTATTTAATTTATACTCAATTTTAAAAATGTAATTTATAAAAGCTTTCTTACAATAGCATTTGAGACTTGCAACATTTCTTCAAATAAGGAAGCTTCTTGTTTATGTCGTCCACTTGTGTCAACAACTATTATTTCAAAACCTTCTTTTTTAAACATATCAACACCGTCTTGAGCTATCACAACAGGATCAACTTCTGTGTAACTGAAAGTTTCAATTGTTAAAAAAAAAAAATAAGAGTTCAAACCCTTCAATTTAAATTTCATTAGAATTAAAACCTATTTAATTGCATTTAAATTATATTAAGTTTAAGCATAAAGTATCTTCTTTTTCTCTTAAATATTTAGTGTTGGCCGCCCTTACCCTAAACCTCCACTCGTCTATATTTTCTACATCCCCTACGCATATAACAACAGCCTTAATAACATTCGCAATCATATGCAACCTTTTTTTTTTTTCGTTTTCCTCTTTTCCCTGCAACATTGATTTTCATATCATAACCACTTTTGTTACTTTTGTTTTCTCTCGCCTCATCACATGTCCAAACTATATTAGTCTATTTTCTCTCATCTTGTCCACTATCAACGATACACCAATACTACCTCTTACATATTCGTTCTTCATTTCACCTTCTCTAGTCACTCAACTCAACTAAGCATTCTCATTTCCGCAACATTCATACTCTGTTCTATTCTCTTGTCAACCATCCAACACTATGAACCATCAAGCATAGTTAGTCTCGTTACACTCCTGTAAAATTTACCTTTCAGCTTTATTGGAATTCTCTTATCAAATAAAATTCCAGACGCTAATCTCCATTTCAATCAATTGCACTTAATCCTATGTTTTATATCAATGTCAAAGCCTTTGTCCTTTTATACAGATTATCCTAAATATTTAAAGTTCTCGATTTTACCTATCATATCCCTGCATATTGTCATTTTTCTCCTCATACTCTCAACTTCTTAGTATCTTCTTCCAAAGTCATACTCTATATACTGTTTTATTTCTACTAATTTTCAATATCTTGCCTTCAAGGGCTAACCTCCACTCATCCAACCTATTATTAACTTCTTCCAGTTTTTCTGACCAAAAATATATCATTAGCAAACATCATACACCATGATATCTGGCCTGTATGTCTTTCGTAACTTCATCCATTATCACAGAGAACAAATATTGGCTTAGAGCCAAACCCTAATGCATACTAACTCCTATGTTAAAATCTTCTATTACTCCACAAAAACTCTTTACTCTAGTTCTCGAAATTTCATACATATCCTAAATCAAATTTATAAATATATTTTTGGAGCCTCTTTTCTCATTAAGTTCCCACTTTTTAACTCCTCTTGGCACTCTGTCATATCTTTTCTAAATCTATAACCACCAAGCATAATTTTTTCTTCTTTTCCCTAAACTTCTCTTTTAGTTGTCTAACACAAAATAATGACTCCATCGTCAATTTTCTTGGCATAAAACCAAACTAATTTTATGATATTGATATCATTACTTCTTATTCTCTTTTCTATATTAAGCATAAATTATAAATTTCTAAATTAATAAAAATGTCTAATTCATTATAGTGCACCTTGGTAGTGATTAATAAATAATGATATTTTTATATTTTTACCTTCCATAAAAAGGTATTTGAGCTTTGGTAGCATTCTGTTTTAACTGATCATATGCTCCAGCTCGAAAAGTATCCGCACATACAAGACAAGTTTTCCAATTTTTTTTTAAATAATAATATGCTAATTTTGTACAAGTTGTTGTTTTACCGGAACCTTGAAGCCCTACAAACATGATTATATTTGGTCGACCTTTAACAGGCTGATATGATTTGACACCAGGATCTACTAACTAAAAATAAATTTTAATATAAAAAAAAAAACGGTGAAATTTATTTAAATGATGAATATCATACTTTCACTAATTCTTTAAATACTGCACTTTGTATCATGCGTCTCTTATTCAGGCCACCAGCCATTTCATCAAAATCAATAACATTGCGTACATTTTCTCTAAGTTTTTTAACTAGCATAACATTAACATTGGCTTCCAAAAGTGCTGCACAGATATCTTTCAGCATAGAATTCAAAACCTATTCAAAATATTATTAATCCATTTTACTACAATAATTACAAAATATACTGAAAATTGAACATACCTCCTCATTGATGATACTAGCGTTATTCAGACCCCGAAGGGCTGAAGTAATCTTACGGCCTAAATCGGCCAAAACCATTTTGTTACAGTTTTATGAAAATATTAGTTAAAAAGCCATGTAAATTGTAAAATTCTTGTTTAGAAATATCATTATTTATCATAACTTTGATAAGAACTTAAATACGTATATCAGGACAACATATCAGTCCATGACGTATACCATATTGGCTGTACAGTGGCACCACCAAACATGATCACATATAGTAAACATGCTCTTTTTCAAAAATTATTGTAAATTTAAAGAATGAAGTAACAAGTTGTACAAATACCAATAATAATAAATAACAATATACAATTTAACAATTATTGTTCTACTAAATATTAAATAATTAAAATATAAAGTCTTGGAGACTATCCATTAAAATTAGATATAATATTTAAATTGTTTTGCATAATTAATAAATAATTTCGTTTTGTTCTGAAGTCTAATTTTTATTTAAAAAAATATTTCTTTGACATATTGAATTTATAAAAATAAAAAAAATTTATCATTTTAATGAGTTCTGTGATATTTCTCTACATTTAAACCATAGAATATTCTATACATCAAGTAAATTTTTTCGTTATGTAATTTCTACACTTATTTAGGTATTATTGTTTTATTATATTAAATATATTATTATTATTATTATTAAATATATATAAATATTGTGTTATTGTATTATTATTGTATGTACCTATCTGTGATTTAAACAGTTCCAATTTTGATCTTATCAGAACTGTTATCAAATTTAAATCGTGAAATAATTTCTCTAAACATCAAGTATGAATTATACATACCTTTTAAAACATTTAAATATTGCATATTTAATATACAGTTAATTGTTACTTTTTATTCAGTATTATTTTTAGTTACTGTACGTTTATAATTTACGGAATAAAATAAAATGATATTTACATAATTTTTAATTTATCTAAACTTATTAATGACTTCAATGTTTGAGATTACAGATTTACAAAGTTTGCGTTTATAATTGATATAGTATCTTCTGTAATTATAAAAATTTGTTTTTTACTTTACAGAAATCGGAGTCGGCTTAGCTGGTTTCGGCATATCTTTCTTATTCTTGGGCATGTTATTACTATTTGATAAAGGTCTTTTAGCTATTGGTAATGTAAGTATTAAGTTAATTTTATATTTATAATAAATATAATTGTTTGCTGCTTTTGAAAATTTTTGAATGCTTTTTAACAATATTAGACAAATGAATATGGATATTAGGAAATTGTTCCAGGTAAGAAAGTGACACAGAAAAAAAGTTTACTGTTAAAAAATAAATAAATATCTTATAATAATATTATTTAAAAATATAAAAATGTATTTATTCAGGTATAAAAGATCTCTTATCTTTTGGACTATTAGTTTAAAAAATTAGGTATATATGCAGATCTGTCTTCATTAAAATATTGATAATTTTACGAATTTCAACTTCTTGACCAATTTTGATTTTTTTCCGATTAATTTCTCCTACTTGCTTTGTCCGTTTCAACTTCTTGACACATTTTTATTAGTGATTTCCATACACTGGGGTGTTTAATGCTGATGAGATAAGAGAACCTATTGTTACATGTGATAGATACCTGTATATTACCAATGTGTATGTAACTGTCGAACTATAGCTTATGTCAATAAATTGTCTTTTAATATCTACAGATTAGATTTATCTACCCAATTTATTTTATAAATAAAATAACAAGTATAGTAGAAATATCACTTTATTTAAATTGCAACAGGAGACTTTACCAGGGATTTTTTTCCGTTTATCATGTTTATGTTGTAATAAATTTAATTTAACCAAATGCATTTAATTATTATTACATTTTGAACAATATTAAATTAATATGTTATAATTAATTTTTCAGATATTATTTATTGTGGGACTAAGCTGTGTTATAGGAGTACAGCGGACTTTAAAGTTTTTTTTTCAAAGACAAAAAATCAAAGCATCATTATCATTTTTTGGTGGAATTTCCGTTGTTCTCTTTGGATGGCCTCTTGTCGGAATGTTATTAGAAATTTATGGGTTTATACTTTTATTCAGGTAATTTAACACTTATTTAACAATATGTTTGAAAAATTTTGTTTGATATATTTATTTATATACACCTATACATTTTAACATAAAAATATTCTTTTTTTTTTTTTTTAATATTTAATTGAACAGTCATAAGTTATTACTACTAAACTTTAAATTATTTTGTTGTGTATTATCTTTTGTGTACTATTTATTAATTAAGCACTAAAGATGTATTTCTAATTTGTTGCCTACCATGTGTTTTCTATTAGTCATCTTTTTTTGTTGCATCTAAGATGTTATACTTAAAATAGTATAAAAATGGCAGGTTCATAGGTATTTTTATTATGATTTTTATGATTATATTACTAATTAAATTATTTAAACGTGAAATGTTATAATATAATATGTTTATTTTCTAGTGGTTTCTTTCCAGTAGCAATAAATTTTATGCGCAGAGTACCAATATTAGGCACTGTTCTTAATTTGCCTGGAATCAGTGGAGTAAGTTGAACCACTAAAATCCAATAAAATTCATTTTTAATTCATTTTGTATTTTTTAAGCTATTGGATCTAGTGGTTGGTGATACAAGACGAACAATGGTATGAATACAGCATATCCACTGTAAATATTAAAACTTTACACAATGTTATGTAAGAATTTAATTCTGATAAAATTTTTTTTTTCATATATACATATAAAAATTAATAACTTATAGATATACAGTAATCAAATCAATATTAATCACATATTTTTGTTATGAAATATATTTATTTATTTTGTTTATAGTGTAGTTTTAGTATTTAATAATTTATTAATTTTAAATATTATTAAAATTACAATTTTATTTTTAGGATTTCAATTGATTTTATACTTTAATAATTCCAATATAATTTTTTCTAACTGGACGTTCCTGGGCTATTTGTTTCCAGTTACTTACTTTATCATGATAACAAATAAAAAAAAAATTATTTTTACATTATAGACATACATATTTTTTATATGTTTCTCTGTATAATATATTTCAACTATACATTATTCATTTTTAAGTAATATTTTTAAAATTAGTACTTGTGTAAAAATATTTGATCTTATGAAAATATAATATTGATATTTGTTTTTTTAGTTCAACTGTATATTATATTAATATTACACAAAATATTTTATAATTTTGTTTGAAATAAATAAATCAATCCATAGAACTGAAACTTTTTGTTATTGAATATATATAATACATTTTTCAATATAATTTTATGTTTCAATGTGAAAAAAATATGAAAGCAGCTTTAAACGTTTAAAGTTAATCTTTTATAAATATATAATTTCTAGCTTTCCACGTATTACTTTTTCATATTAATTGTTCGCTGTAAATCATTGCTTGCTCTTACTAGTTTCTAAATTACTAACATTAATAATTTTTATTTTTAAAATATAAAGAAGCGTGAAAAAGTACTTTTAATTTACAATTTTTTTAATTTCATTGTGGATTTCTTACAGCCATGTTATGTGGTGGTGTTACTACATGGGATTGTAATGATTATATTAGAGTTCTGTCCCAGAATGAGACTTCAATAATGTATGTTTGTAATTTATTAAACTCTAGGTTGAGAGACCATAATATCATTGCCGTGTTAAAATAAAAAGTTGAACAAGTGACTGATGAAATATATTTTTAATTATTTTTTCAAATACGTTCTTTGTATTTCTGTTCCCTTACAATAGTTATTGTAAAACAAATCGACCATTCCTAATTAATTTGTCAGTTAAAGTAAGCTAATCACTGTAGCATAGAGTAGTCATATTATAATCAGTGTTTATTTCAGACCATTTAATTCAAGGGGGTATCGCACGTTTGGGTTGGAGGCATGTGGTTTAAGGTACTTCATTGGAATACATAATTAATAATTAAAATGCGTTTGCTCGGCTAGTATCATCAACGCATAGCCTGTGTCACCACACCAAAAATAAATTATTTATTTATTAATAATGTAGTGTATTATTATTATCGATGTTCCACGAACGTAATTTCTGAGAAAAATCAAATGTCAATATACGTTATCTTCAGTTTAATTTTGGTGTATTATATATTGTACATAAACCGTCCCAACCAAAACTAAATTTAGTTAATTGCTGGATACATATTAATTATTATTTTTATTGTTTAAAAATATGTATATATATAAATATTAAATAATTTCTTTTTTTGCTCATCAGTGTTTCAAAAACGGTTTTCGGTTTTTGCGTTAGCTGAAGTAGCAACATATTATCCTAAATACGGCCCTGCCTACCACTAATGAAATGCCACCCCAGGTATAGGCCTGTGTTTCTTGTGCCTTCCGCCGGCCCTACATATACTTTATGAACGTATCAGTTATTATAAAATTCTATCTGACTCGTACTACAATTTCTGTATGACGTAATTTGATTTATTAATACAATACAAATAATTGTTTATACTTATTTCACTACACACAATATTTTAAAAATTATCTTTAATATAAAATTTTTAAATGCCACCTAGATGTGCGCCTATGTCGCCTACCCCTCGAGCCGGCCTTGAATCTAGGGAATACATATTTTATTTGGTAAGAACCAGGATACATTTTTTCCCATTTTTCCTTAATAAAATACATTTTTATTGATTTTTTTATTAAACAGGTAAAATTATTACAAAAATATATTTATCACGTCGGCGATCAAAATGATTTTATTTATGTGAAGCCAATTGGGTAGCCGACGACCCAAACCGAATTATTTTTCTTGGGTCGCCGGCTACCGAAACGCGTTATTATCTTAAATGAAATTTATTTTAATAGTATTAACTGTAAATTATTAAAAAGTAAAAATGTTGGATTTATTATTATGTCGCTACCCAAACCAAATACGACACTCGCAACCAAGATTTTTGGTTGCGTTCGTGACGACAATTCGTTTGATACAAGTTGCATACTGATTTTTGTAAACATTGGTAAACATAGTTTCTGTATAGCCCCTCCCCTTAAAATATAAATATTACATAAATAGTATTTATAATTATTGACTATTATTTTATTTAGAATGTTTTAACAATAAATACTGAAGATTTAAAGTGTGACATTACTGTATTTAAAAATATTTTAAGGAATGTCTTACACAACAAGTTTTTCCTAATTCATTTAAGCTCCTTCAACTAACAATCATATTACTAGTCAGTTCATCCACTTGTGAGAAATCATTTTCGGCAATGCGAAGGATCAATACATATTTAAGGTCTACTTAGTAGACTCTACTATATTTCAAAACCGGTTCAATGAATTAAGTATACATAATATAGAAAAATATATTCTTATAGACGTTGATGATATTATAAACAAATTTTCTAAAACAGAAGTCTATCACCAGTTAACTACTACCTTATCCGTTGGAAAGACTCCTGCTGAAGCAGTTACTATTGCCTCAACAGTACAGTCCAATGCATTAGGTGTGTTAATGGAGGGGATGAATCCGTCAAGACGACTAATTTTAGAAGCTAGAGACATTCAGTCATATGACCAAGCTTTACGCATAGCCATAGAGAATGAAAAAGTATGTGATAAAATCGGAAATTGTAAAAATAAAAATTCGAATAATTATAATAAGGGCACTAATAATTACTATAACCACCGAAATAATAAAGCGAGTATTAAATGCTATAAATGTAACCGTTTTGGACATTACGAGAGAGAATGTCGCACTAATGTACCTTGAAGTTCAGGATTTAGGAATCCAACAAATAATGGCACTGAAGTAAAAACCGAATATGTCGAAAATAATGTAAAATTTTGCAAATATTGTAAACGAAATAATCACGAAATTTCCGAATGTCGCAAGCGAATTGCTAACGAAAATAAAAATAAACGGGATTTATACATAACGATAATTTAAAATTTGAATGACAGAAAATATATTTATAATGATACATACAAACCGATTAATTATAGTAACATTTAATGTAAAGTATTAAAAAACTATTAATTTAAACATTTTTAAGATATTTTTTGACTTATAATATTTTATTTAAAAAGCTACCAACTAAAAATCAAAAGTCAGAAATCAAATTAGAAAATTATTATAATATTATATTATATTATATTCAACAAAAAGTCAAAAAATCATTTTAAGATACTTTTTGACTAATAATATTTTACTTAAAAAGCTACTTACAAAAATTCAAAAGTAAAAACCCTTTTAAAGATTATTTATACTCATACTTCATAATAGTATCATAAATAATAAATAGGCATTACAATTTGATAATATTAAATAACACATAATACTAGATAACAATGTTATAAGTAACAGTTTTTAAAAAGCGTGGCAAAACCAAATGACCAATCAGAAAGCTAAAATGATAACCGGTGCCGAGACCGACCCCAGAATGCTAATATGCTTCCCCGGACTATACTTATATGTTTATTGTTAGCTGTTACGTAAATCGATTATAATTTTTCTTTTCGGCTCCAATATCATGAATTTCTTCAAACATATATATTATATTATGAACAGTTAAGTGTAATACGAGAAACTAAAAATTAAATGATTTCGGCATCTCACAAAAGGCAATAGTTTTTATTTTTACTTAGTATTTCGCGATGGAAAAAAATCTTGCCGTAAATACAGCAAAAACCTGTGAGTGGGTTACTTACCCATGCACTTCAAAGATGTCTGTGAATCTTATAATGTAACCTTATAATTTGTTTTAATATTTGAATTCGGAAAAACATTCATTACTCGAGTTTTATAAGATTATTGATTGAAAATATATATGATTATTTTTTAACGGCAGAAAATAAATCTCAACCTTTTCTTATATGTAAAAATAACATACAAAATGCACAATATCTTAAAAAATTACGGTTTATTCGGTATATAATTTTAACGATATGAGAACATACGCGCGCGCGCGAATGAAAAAAGATGAGGTTATATGGATTGATGTCGGTTAAGTTTTTCGCTAGATATTAGGTGTGAGAATCGATTTCTAACAATAAAATAATTTAGTAAATATGATGATACGATTGAATTTACAAGTTTCTATTTTAATAATTGTATGGACTTGAAATAACGTTCATCGTAATTAAATAGCACATAGGATTATGTACATCAAATAGTTATAGTATTAGTTAATAGTATAACGTCATATTATACACCCGAAAACAATTAGTTTTGATTTATAACAATAATAATATGAATGCACATTAGTGTACATTGTCGTTTTAAATTGTAGAAATATAATATATAATATAAAATATATTGTACGCATTAAATACGTCGTTAAAATCACTCGTTATAATAAATTACATTAACAACAACCGATATCACTGTCGTCGATGCATAATACACATGCGTAATGTTATTATTATATGTTAACAAAACGCTAACTAACGATGTGTTTATAATATAATGTTTTTCTTTTTGTTCTGTGCAGCAATCATTATTACACTCACGAAGAGTTACCGACTAAAGATGTGCACATCGATTTCAAAAAACTCGTCTCGCACATCAAAAACAAGCTGGAACCGACTTCTTATTTATCAAGATTCACTAACAACTACTACATTAACTGAGTGAAACATCTAACATTTTAATCACATTGAACAATCGCATTTATTGAATTACACAACATTATTGAAGTACACAACGTGCGTTCTGTTTCATACATTGTTGTTCGCACACGTGGTATACAAATATCTATTTCATATACATTTTGTTAACACGATGTTAATAATAATTATATACTCTTGCACAATTTTTATTTATAAGACATATGTCGCATGTATTTTACAATTATTTCCAGCTGAATTTAACTCGCAATTCTAGAGACGATTATACATGTTCACGACTTAACAGCCCTCTTCTTTTTTTTCGATTCAACAATGCCTTTTATCCTTTCGCAATGTCCAGCAGGGTACGTAGATTACGTCCATGATATTTTGCTGATCATCTGGTCATCGTTAATATGAGCGGCCCATTGCTACACCACTGTAGCCTATTAAGGTATTCTTAAGAAACATCAGATCCCTCCATAGGCCTTTTTAAAATTGTATAAATTAGTGTTCTTAATGTAAGGAAATTATAAGGAACAAAAAAATATTGCAAGGATTTATTGTAAACAGTGCCGGATTAACAAATTTGTCACATGGGGGCAGATTTTAAAATTCCGCCTTTCAACCCCCTCCACAAATCAAAAAAAATATATTTATATATATATATATATATATATGTGTGTGTGTGTATACAACAAGTAACAACATAGTTAAGATTATTTAATTAATTTATATTTATAAAGATATTGTAACACCGGTAGTTTTAAAATTTATAGGCCTTAGTAGGTACTAAATATAAACATTTTAATACAAATTTATTCAATATAAAACATTTACAACTAATTTTTAGCTTTCTGTGCAGCAAACTCTTCAATAATATTATTCCAACCTATACTTTTTAGGAAAATATTTACAATATATATTAGAAACAACTATGTCATATTTTCATTAGATAACTATGTTTGGCGGTCATCAAAACCGCACACTTACCGTTCATAATCGTGCATTTTACATCGTTCAATACCGCACACATTTATTCTATTGTTAAAAAGGGAAATTTTAAAGGTCGGTAGTTCAAATCCACACACATTTGATTAACAGTTCTTTCTTCCTGCATACTTTGCATGTACGGTTCACGTTGCTGTTTCGTATGATTCCCACTTATAATCGTTTTTTTTTTTATCCTAGACCTATTTGAGGTGGTATTACGTAACAAATTAGGGGATATTTTTATTTTTAACTGTCCCAGCGAACGTAGCGAGCAAGTGACTCCGCTCGATCTCGAGGTGCACTCATGTTATTTTAGGTGAATGTATAAGTTATTGATACATATATATATATATCAATGGGTGGGGTATTGAACGGTTTAATTTGGCGGACATATGTGGAATTAGGATATAAAAGTGTGCGGTTTTGACGACGACCTGTTTTTGAAAGTGTGCGGTTATGAACGACGCCTATTATGTTTTCTGGTAGTTCTTGACTCTTTTTAAAACTGAGAAGGATCTTTCTTCGCTAGCATTTGAACATGGTATAAATATAAAAAGTTTTAAAGCTATTTCCATAATAGGGAATGCATCGTTTAATTTTGATACCGTTAATACTTCAAGAAAACTGTGCATAAATAATTTTTCATTTTCTGAAAAATACTTCATTATTGTTTTAAATATTATAATCTCATTCTCAAGATCCGGTTATAAACACTATAAATATTTACTAATTGCTTTGATTTTTCTCGTAAAATATCATCGTCAATTCCTTCTACATTTAAAAAAAAACCAAACAACTCATTTATTTCAATATATGCATTTGTATACGCTTTTCACTCATATTGATTGAAAATAAAATATTAGGCACGTTTGTTTTCCAGTCAATCGTGATTCGTGAATCGAACTCGACAATAACGACATCTATGACCACGAGACTTGAAAGAGTGAGAGAGTGAGAGAGAGATAACAAAAACAATTGCTGGGTAATGTGTAAATAAATTATTTGAAACTATTAATATCAAATTTAATAATCTGATGGATATAAATTATAATACACACAGAGATATATAAGATATATAATAAACACCATTTTATGTCAGCGTAACGAAAATAAAAATGCATGTGTAGGAGCACTAAATAATAATAATATGGTTTACCCTTAATATGCTAAACGCCCACAGACGAAATAACTTAGCGGTTTAATATAATATAAAATAACTATTATAATTATAATATATATACATTATATTATAATATTATATAATTGTTATTAATATTTTTCAATAATAAATTAATAATTTTTCCTAAAAACTAGTATATACATTAAAAAATTTCAAAACTTTTTGTTAACCGGATCTGGTTGCATTTGAAATCATGTGGAATCGTTTACATTTAAAAATGGTAATTGGAAAGTCTACAGGATCCCTTAAGATTTGCGGAACCGTCGCCTAGCCAATATAGAATGTCCACCCCGATGGCGGTCGCCGCAGTTAGACGCTATTAATTTACTATACTGTGAAAGTAAACTGTAAATTGGTAAAAAAGTTGTATAAAATTATATCTAATGTGAAAGGAGGGGGATGTGTAAATGACGCGTTACCACGGTTACTGTAACCATATTGTGGGTCATAACAGTACCTATGGTTAGGTTAACTTAACATATGTTTTTTTCCATGAAATTGATATTAAAGGGTTTTGATTATTTTTGAACTAATGATCATCGATGTTTATGATTTATACTGATAACAAATTAACGTTTTTTCAAAATTCATTTGTTCAAATGTTTGTTGGAGTGTACAGTTATAAATACTATAGTTATCAACATATTAACAGTTTTAACAAGTTATCTGTTTATTCTTTTGTGCACTTTTCGTTTTATATTGAGATATTGTTGTTTAAAATGGCTAAGTATAACACAAAATCGACTATGTTTGTAGAATATAGTAATTTAATAAAGGAATTGGAACAGTATATGCCACAATTTAAAGCATCCATTAAAGATATTCAAGAACCATCTCAAACATTTGTTACTAATTTTTATACAGATGTACTAATGGAATTTTTCTGTGATGTAAATAATTTGACTGAGGTACCTCTAATTTTTATATTTCTATTTTTACTTTTCACATTTGTATAGTTTTATATTTTATTATTGTACAATTAATTAAGTTATTTTCATTAATTTATGCAGATCCAAGTAACTCAAAATCTTACGTATAATGAGATGTATTGTGAAACGGTTCCAATATTGAACATGTGTACAGCCTTGAGACATATTTATTCAAAATTGGGAATTGATGATTTTGGTATGAATGATATATGTGATCCAAGTGAGTTTTAATTGTAATAATAATATAAGATATTCCTAAAAAAAATGCTTGTTTGGGTAAAGTTTAAAAGTTGACTAGCAAATAATTATTTATAGTAATATTTAAAAAATTTTAGTACATTTATATAATTTATCAATACAGTAAAAACTCGATAAGACAGAACTTCAGTAAGTCGGAAACCTCGGTATAACGGAACATTATTTCCCATTTCAAATGACATACAATTAATTAACCCTGTCAAGACGGAAACCTCGTTAACACGGAAAAATATCATGGTCCCGATCGATTTCGTCTTATCGAGGTTTTACTGTATTTAGAAAATTATTGATACTTTATAGAAACTTAATAACTTTTAACAAGGTTCAGAACTTAAAGTTTATATAATTACTCTAATAAGGATTTAAAAAATTAAAAAAAAAAAATCAAAAACTTAGCCTTTTTGGTTTCAGATAACATTTTAACTTGTTTATTATACTTTTAATAGATTTTTATTAGAATATAATATATATAATATTAGTAATTGATAAATAATGTAAATTATTTTTTAAGGTTCAAAAAGAACTTATTGTTTACTTCAGACAATGCTAAGCTTCATTAAATACAGTGATGAAAAAATACATGAAGTTGAAGACAAAATGAAATCTGTTAGAAATATGAAAGATACAATTGATAAGTTGAAAAAAGAAAAAGATATTCTTGTTAATTCTATCAATAAAAAAACTCTAGAACGCAAAGATCGAGGAGCTGAATTAAAAACTGTATAATTACATTAAGCAATTTATTTATAATTGTTATTGTATTATATTTTGTTCAACAGATAGCCGAAGATGTAAAATTCAATAAGACAGAATTAAATCATTTTCAAAAACATAGGGATGAAGTTTTAAAAGAATTAGATATAGCAAAACAAGAAAAAGAAGAAATTGAAAAAAAATGTATTAAACTATGTGAATTAAAAGATAATGTAATGTTTTTAATTTTTTTTTAAAAAAACTTTTTTTTTGTTAAATTATTAATTAATATGCTAATAGTAATAATACTATTAAAATACATTTTATTTGAATACAACTATTTATATCAAATTTAGATTGTGGAAGATATTAATGCTCTCAGAGCTCAAATTGTTGAAGCACCAGATTTGTTAAAAGCTGATCATGAACGACTTAAAAGGTTGAAAAATGAAGTAACAGAAAAAAAATCTACCATGATGGCGCAAATTAGTGCAAAAAAGCAAACACTTATAACTTTGGAACAAGAACTAGCAGCACAAGAAAAACGATTACGTTTATTAACTGATGTAACTGAAAAAAATGAAAGGTTATCGTAAGTAACAAATATGTTATAATAAATAAATGTTATTGTAAATTTACTAAGTATATTATCATCAATTATAATTTATTTCTACGGTAGAAACTTGACTAACTGTCACTCTGTTATCTGTCATTGCTATTATTAATGAGGCAATCTCAATAAACTCATTATGATAAATGATATCCAACATATGTCATAAATGTGATGTGAACAAAAAAATTGAATTATATTTAATTCAATTTCATTAGTGACTGACGAGTATCATGGGCTGTCATATAATTATGTAAAATACGAAATATTGCAGCTAAAAAAAGTCCAAGCATCATAAAAAATAACAGATTATTTTGTTTAAAATTGTTAGTTTTAGTTTAGTAGTCTTTTAGTGTGGTATGTTTAGTATAAAATATATGTGAATTATTTTTTTTAAAAATACGTACGTTGTAATATATATATGTTTATTGTGAAATTTCTGTTAACTGCCTATTAGATTAACCATTATAGTCCCAGTTTCAGCAGTGACAGTTGATTGAGTTTCTACTATATTTATTTATATTGAACAAATTTACTAATATTGTTTTGTTATTCTTATTACACTAATTTTTTAGTAAGTTGATTCATGAAATAGAAAATATTTGTCAAAAAAAATGTGAACTAGATGAAGATTCTGAACATTTAAATGAAAAACTAGAGATGATTGAACGTGAAAGAGCTGATACAAATAACAAAATTAATTATTGTGATAAAGAAATGGAACGTGAACGCAATTTATACAAAGCTAAATATGATGCATTACATAAGTAAATATTTATTAAATAAATTAAATTTAAAATTTTAAGAGACCTCAATTTTATGGTTAGTATAAAAATGATGTTTTAAATATTGTTTAACAAGACATAAAAATTATTTATTTTTCTAAAGTTTATATTTTATAGTAAAAATATTTTAACATAGTAGTATGTATTATTATTGTTATATATTCTGTCTTATATAATTGTAGTCTGAATACACTTAAGACAGAATATTGAGTAATAATACACTTAAGAAAATATTTTTTATCAAGTTTTGTCATATTACAAGTATTCTGAAAACTTTGCTGGGGATTGGTAAGATTTTTAATGTAATATCTGATGGTAACATTAAGTGTTCCTGTAAAATAATACTGGAGAACGATACAAATACATTGTCATGTGTATCAGTATTCATTTTATTTTATATTAAATAAAATTATAGTTTTATTTGATTTTTTTGTAAACATAATAACTAGGGCTTGGGATGTTTATGCACTTAAAACTACTGTAATATGCATTATAAAGTCTGTCGATCAGCTGTATGTTAAGCCAACTTTAAATTTTGTTTGATGGTAAAACGACAATCACTTTCGACTTTAGTTGCATACATCTCACAATATAAAACCAAGCCATCTGTTGAAAAAATGTCATTCCCAAACTCGTTCATAACATTTTTAAGAGATATTGAACAGGATGATTTGACTTTCGGCATTTTTTAATAAATTTATTATTTATGTCATTTTTATACAAAAAAATTAAAAATTATATTGAAATACTTTCCACTATGTTTTATACAATAATTCTTGCTTTTTAGAGAAATAGAAAATATGAGGAAACAAAATAATCTTCAATGTGAAACTATTAAATCTTTGGAAAATGAGATAAAGAAATGTAATATGCGTAAACAAGAACTTGAAGCTGATGTATTAACTATGATAGAACATTTTCAAATAGCAAAAAATTCTCTAACTAAAATAGTATGTATTCAAATTATTTATTTATTTATTTTTTTTTAATTATTTTATTTGAATTATTTTACAGCAAATTGATAACAATACAGAAATTAAAAAGAAAATGTCATGTAGCCCACATTTTAAATAATTTTAAGCTAAAATGTACTAGAAATATGAAATTTATTTTTTTAATATGTTAATTTCTTAAACTAAATTATATTATTTATGTAAAAATTACATATCAAGTATTTAAAACTAAAATAATTGTGTAAATAATTTTATTACACTTATATGCAGTTAAATAATTGTTTAAACCAGCAGGTCTAAAATGATGCACGGCGAACACTTTCTAAGGGCACCACGGTTTACGGTTCATAACAAATAGTTTAAAATGTACAGAATTTTTTTTCCTTATTGTTTTCATAAAAACTTTCTAGCAAATAATAAAATATTTTCTAATATGTATTTGGACATTAGATATATTTGGATATGTATTTTATATATGTTATAGTCATAAAGGATACATTATTGGTAGTACAACAATGGACAGATAAAAAAACAGGATACTAAATAAATTAAATTTCATCTGTTCTGCTTGGCTATAGTCAAATCGATTTATTCCACCGATGAGAATATATAGTCAATATATTAGGTTATAATGTAATATATTGAATTAAACGTTGATAAATTATTAATTCATTAAACTTACACTATGCTTACACATAACCATAAAGTCAGTATTGGTTTGGTTCATAATTGGGCATCCGACAAAAAATTTACAATGGACAACCTAATGTAAGAGAGTCTATAAATACCTATTAAGAAGGTTTTTTCTCACTACGCTCGAACTCAACTACAAATTTTAATTTATTTTTTTTATATTTTTCCTAAGCCAATATTATTGAATTATCATTGTGTTTATATATGGATTATAAATAATATATATTTAGTTTCGGTAGTTACAATGTTAAACATGGATGTTACCATTTCCAAGGTTTATATATTACATAATCTACAAATGTTGTACATTCCGACCACAATTTAAAATAATAATATTTAATTATTACTAATATTAATAATATGTATTAAATAATAATTTATTAAAATTTAAGATATCTTAAACCGTGATTTCGACCAAGATTTTTAGTATGGTTTAAAATATACTATATATATGTTTATTTGTATATTTTAAACCGTGGTTTATAGATTATCTGTATATATAAAACAGTAAGCTGATTGACTGATCTATCAACGCACAAATTAATTAAACCATTGGACGGATTGGGCTGAAATTTGGCATACGGGTAGCTATTATGGCGTAGGCATCCATTAAGAAAGTGGTTTTCAAAATTCAACCTTAAGGGGTAAAAATTCAAAACGTTTTTTATTGGTCCGATTTTTTTAAAATTAAGTACACATAACTCTGTAAAATGGTACGGCCGCCAAAAGCCATAACTTTTAGAATAGAAGAATATAAATAAACTACAAATATCATTAATTGAAAACCAAGTCGACATAGCCATAATCTCTGAAACACATCTCATAAATAACTTGGCCTTAATATACTCGGTTACAACATACTAAGGGCTGACCACCGTGACGGTTCCGCTCATGGTGTTGCAGCACTCTCATAAAATCCCCTCTAAATAATACATATATATATATATTAGAGATTTTATATAACAATATAAAATATTTCTAATAAAATAGCGTACACTCCACTTTCTATATCACTCGATCTGCAAATAATTAGCACTTCTTTGCTTATCGACCCGGTACCAGTCTACCTTCCCCCAGACCGAAAATTCCCGGAAAATTAACTCCTACAATAACTATCCACGATAAATCATACATTCCTATTAGGAGCCGACTTTAATGCCAAATACCATTGTTAGGGTTGCTCAACAATCAACACCCGAGGCCGTTCACTTCAGAATATTAGAACCAAACACGCCAAAGTACTTGCTCCACACGCACCAACCTATTGGCCTTTTCACCTGGGCTGCAACCATGATTATCTCGTCTTCTTTATCTCTAATCTTCCAAATCATCTCCAGACCAAATTAACCAACTTAAACGATTCAGCGTTTGACCATACTCCAGTTCTAATTTAAATAAATGTCTCAAACTCATTGCATAACAGAAAGAAAGATTAGATAAGAAAGCTAGGCTCCGCTCAACCTACCAGAAAAGAAAATGGCATCACAGTGAACGCAGTTGCGAGTAATCTTTTCAAAACCTCGAACATTAAACCTGCAAAACAAATGAACATTATAATAAAAAATGAATTCAAAATAGAACTAGACAACTGTGATGAAATATCTGCTTTAATGAACGACTTCATAGAATAAGAGGTCCATCTCGCCTTAATAAATGTCAAAAATGAGAAAGCGGCAGATATCGACAGAAAACTACCGGAATTTATAAAGAACCTAGGTCCTAGAAGTAGATTTTGGCTTGCTCGCTTTTTCACGTCGGTGGCCAATAAGGGGATTCTCCCTAAAGCATGGCGTGAAGCAAAAGTCGTAGCCATCCTGAAGCCAAATAAGCCGGGAAAATATCCGAGAAATAGACCAATTTCGTTACTATCAGTAGTATACAAGCTTTTTGAGAGATTACTACTAAGGCGAATGTATCCATTATTAGAACGTACAATATCCATGGAACAAGCTGGCTTAAGAAGTGGGAGAAACTGCTGTGAACAGGTGCTAGCCTTAACGACTTACGTAGAAAATGGTTTTCAAAATAAGATGAAGTCCAAAGCTGTCTTTCTCGACTTGTCAACAGCTTACGACACAATCTGGAAAAGAGGTATATTACTCAAATTAGCAAAGAATCTTTGGTGTAATGTTACTTTACGCTTATTGAAACAAATACTTTCTGACAGAAGTTTCAAAGTCAACCTAAATGAGGAGGCAATCTGGAAAAGAATCTTACAAAACGGGTTACAAAAAAAAAAAACAAAGATAAAAACATAAACAAGGATCAATACTATCATCGACTTTATTTAATGTATACACCACCGACATTGAGGTAACCAAATCGAGAAAATTCATCTATGCAAATGACATAGGTCTAGTTGCCCAAGGAAAGACTTTTGAACAACTTGAAGAAACCCTGAACAAAGACCTAGATGTTTTACAAAATTATTTCCAAAACTGGCATCTCAACCTAAATGCTAATAAAACAACAACAGTGACTTTTCACCTGAACAATCGCGAGGCAAATAGAGAATTTAAATTAAAAATTGGTGAACATCGCAAATGGAGAATGTCTTAGATACCTCAGAATCAAACTCGATAGGACGCTTACTTTTAGACAACACTTAGAAACAACAAAAAACAAAATAAAATCACGAAACATCATATCCAAACTAGCTAGGACTTCCTGGGGATGCAGCGCAGACACTTTGAGAACCTCAGCACTATCCTTAGTATATAGTGTAGCTGAATATTACGCTCCCATGTGGACAATTAGTGCTCACTGCAATAAAATTGACGTTGAACTAATTGCAGCAATGAGAATAGTCAAGGGTACAGTAAGAAGTACTCCAACTCAATGGCTTCCCGTTCTCTCAAATATTGGCTCCCCGGAAATCCATAGACAAATAGCTACACAAAATATGATAAGTAAAATTAATAGGAACGTTAAGCTGCCTATCTATAATGACATAGACCACCATCCAAACAAAAGGCTAAAATCCAGACGCCCTGTTTGGGTTGTAGACATAATCGTTAACGATTTACAGGCTGAATGGAAAAAAATTGGCTAGAGTCTGAGGTACGTAATTCATCACTGGTTGAAGACCCAACGTAAAAGTACCAGGCTTCAACTTACCACGTGCCTTATGGACCACCATAAATCGTATTAGAACCAACCAGAGAAAATGCAATTATATATGACACAAGTGGGGCATAGTGGAATCTCCTATATGTAGTTGCGGACAAAAGCAAACCATCAAACATATAGTCGAAGAATGTCCGTTAATGAAGTTCTTAGGAGGTATTGAGAAATCCACACAGCCAACGAGGAGAGCATCGAATGGATGAAAAACTTAAGCGTGCGGCTGTCATCAAGAAAGTATCAACTAAAACAATGAAAATATGATTTATGAGTTAGGTACCAAATTATTATTACCAAACTTAATTTTTACTGTTACCTTTTGACTATTTATAACTATTTATTTTATTTATTTGTTTTATTACTATTATTGTAGCTTATATTATTGTGATTTATCTTTTTATGTATTTATTATTTAGTGCTTGCCGGAGTCATATGCTAATAATAATAATATTGTATAGCAATAACAATCTTTTTCAAATAATTTGGCCAAGGTTTCGTAGCATTATGACTCTCAACTCTCACCTCAAAATCAAGCTAAAATCTCACGCAGACATTGACGAAGCTATTAGAAATTTTACTGAAACTATTCTCAATGCAAAAAATAATTCTTCCTTTCCAGCTCACAATTTAAAATCTGACCATCTTATCAGATATGAAATCAGACAACTCATTACGGAAAAACGCAGAACCCGTAACCGCTGCCAACACTCTCACTATCCTGAGGACAGGTGAAAATACAATTCACTTTCTAACAAATTTAAATCTCTTCTCGTGACCCACAAAAATGAACTGTATAAATCTCACCTTGCTTCTCTTCGAATAAGGGCACACTCCGGAAAAAAAACCAAATCTACTACAACACAAAGAAACTCTCCCACCACTACTCCGAGAAAACAATTCACTAGCAGTCGATGACCGAGATAAAGCCCAACTATTAGCCTCTCACCTCGCTGACTCTTTTAAGCTACAGTCATCACTCCCCAGTCAAAATCACATTGACTTAATCAAAATATTTCTACTCTCTCCAGGGGCGGATCCAGAGTCGGGAAACTGTGGGTCAAGCCATTTCAAGAGGCCATTTATTAGGGATGAAACTGAATTAGAAATGAATACCTTGTAAAAAAAAAAAAAAACACAATATGCTCATAAAAGTGTATAAGTAAATTTATATTACATTTTAGAATTAGTGATACCACAGATAATGACTTATTTACAATTAATAAATATAATCTGATTTTATCAGCGCAACAAACGTACGGAATAAAATATGATTTACTTAACTTTCTATTAAAACGAAATAATTTATAATATAAATTATGAATTGAAAAATTTTAAATTTTGAATATATATGGCATTCATTTTTTAAGTAACTTTGATAGACCAACTGTCCAAGAGTTCAAATCAAGGTCTAAAAAGAGAAAAAAATTTCCAAGAGGCCAATTTTGTCATCAAATATTAACTGTGGGTCAGTTGATCCCCTGACCCCCCCTAGATCCGCCCTGCTCCTAGAATAACTCTAACAGCATAACATGATAATGGTGAATAAATTACGCGCATGCGCAGAATGCTTAAGATGCATTCCTGTGTTTAGGCGCACCTTTCCTGCTGCCCTTTCTGAGCCTTGCATTTCGACCTTTAAACATAATTTCAGTGTGATAACACTGATAACAATTAATCGTAATTCACTATAAGAGATTTGTAAATTTTTAAATAAGAATTAAAATTATTATTTTTTATCAAAATTGTTAGTGATTTAGTGAAAAATAATAAATTCCTGTACAATGATGTATTAATTTATATTTTTTATTACAGGTGAGAAAAAATGGCATTTCTTAGTCCATTCTTTAGGAACCCGATTACCGATTTCACTGGCCCATTGATGTCTGCTCAAACGGGTTTACGCTGTGCAGAATTTGAAATGCAAATGATGAATTGTTACGAAGCTTATGGTTATCCAAAAGGAATTGAATCTTGCCAAGCATATTATGATGATTTCAAAGAATGTTGTACTAGAGAGAAACAGGTACTTATGTAAAATCTTATCCACCTAGGTACTTGTACAGTAACAATGATTAAATGGAATTGAATTATTTTAAAATTTTCAATTTCGAAACTCAACATTTTAGAGCTTAATTTATTAAAATTAGACCTTAATTTACCTTATTACTTAAAATATGGATGGTAAAGCTTTGATTTATGAACTGTTAAGTGAATATTTCTTAATATTCATCTTTCCAATCCAAATAGTTATTAATTTATTCTTACACTACTGAACAGAAAATTAAAACCTTACAAGCATACTCATTTTGCTTATTTTTTAATATTTATTTTATTTTTTTTAATTTGTTCTATTATTTGTTATAATTCCCTTTTTAGAAGCAACTTATTAATAAATTATTTTTATTAAAATTTTCTTTTAGTTATATTTGCATTTATTTTGCCCCATCCTCAAATCAAAAATCAGCCTAGCAAATAAAATGCTCATATTCAAAAGTTTAATTAGACCAGTTTGGTCGTATGGGATACAAATATGGAGACCTGCCAAACCATTTAACATTAGACCAGGCGCGTAGCTAGGTATTTTATAAGTGGGGTGTTATTCAAAATTATACACAAAAAAATAATTACTTTACGTGTATTTTATTATACAAGCATATAAATATATTAGTACATTGCATATGAATATATATGCCTGTGAAATTTACCATTGTATTAGAAAGTACTTAAATATTTTATTAAAATTTTAAATGTACATTTTTGTCATATGTACCTATTTTAAATCACGCATGATATGACACAGAACCACGACTTTGGCTTATTAAACAAAACGGTATAATGAGAAGCCAGATCTTGACTTTACATTATTGTTATGTATATATTTCGTTATGATAAATATGTTTTATACATGGTTTATGATAAATTTTTACCTTTATAAGACTTCAGTATACTACAGTTAAAGGGGAGGAGAGGTGTTACTACACCTGTAACACCCCTCCTAGCTTTGCGCCTGCATCAGACCATTACAATAATTTCAATCAATAGCTATAAGAATTATCGCAAATGCTCCCTGGTACTCAACAAATCAAAATCTTCATAAAGACCTTCAACTACCAACTATAAAAAATAAAAGTTATATTTAATTTTTTATCTCTTACAGCTTCATTTTTATATTTTCTACATTGATCCATAAACATTTTTGTATCTAACATTTAATTTGTGTCTTTCTTTTGTAATTTATTTTTTAAAACATAATTGTTGGTGATTTCAAGGGCTATCACTTAATTTATAATCTATCAGTAATTTTAAAATATTAAAAAATGTTGTTACAAATATTCCTAATTTTTTAATTACAAAATACAATGTAAACTGGACCTTGTGGATTATCTACTGAATTAATGGCATTTTAAGTATTTTTGATTATTTAGTTATCAGATGTTTAGTTTTGAAGTTTTTCCTCATATGTATAAAATAATTCTTTCCAAATCATGAAACTATTTATTATTAGTGAAAATTAACTTTAGTTTAAAACATCTACGATTTTTACTTAGTATTTGTGAAGTATAGTTATGAATATAATATTCTACCATGAAATAAGCATTTATTTATAGCATTGATTCTCATCCTTTTCTCATTCATGTCACCTTTAGCTACAAGAATCAAACACTGCGTTACCCTAACATTAAAATAATAAATAATTTTTACTGTGTATTTTAGAATAATTCTTGAAATAACTAAAAAATATAGTACACAAAAAAATAATAAGTACACCTACAATAATTGTGAATAATAAATTATTTATTAAGTTGCAGGGGGTCAGTAAAAATTGACATTTTAAAGTTTAAATTCACTAATTAAAAAAAAAAGAGAAAAAAATATTAATGATTTGTATAAAAAAAATGATAAGAAATTGGGCCCTGGTGGTTTTTACAAAGTTGAGGAAGTCGAGGGCTGATGGTGGAAAGATTGAGTCTCATATTGTCTTCTAAATTTAGAACTATAATATACTATAATAATACTGCACATCTAGCGACTGCAAAATAACTGTCTAACGACCCCGGTTAAGTTGATAAAATAATCGATAATGTAGCGATTTTGCGTTAATAATAATACTGCACGTGTTTATCGGACCTAAATAATAAATATAAATAATATAAAGATTCAAACTTAAAGGTATGCTATTTACATAGCAGTCGTGGTAATAATATGATTTTATTAAAATGAATTATTTTCTTATTTCCTTTTCCCGTTGAGATTTCGTGTCATCCCAGTTGAGTACCACTGATCTATAGTAATATTTTATATAACAGTAAAATTATTTTCAGACGTTGCACAATGGTCTAAAATACAATTATGGGCCAATAAAATTAATACTTCCCAAATATATCATTGAGTACATGTTTATTTATGTTTTTATTGATTGTAATTTTAATTATGACTTTATTTATGAAGTTATAAAATTTTTAAATGTAATAATATGAAATAAAATAATCTTATTACACATTTTAATATTGGATTTATAATAAGAATAATTTTTACACCATTAAATAAATTAAGATAAAAAAAAAATAGTTTAGATAAAATAAATATAGGTAACTGAATATTCTAGTTTGAGAAGCACTTATATATACAATAATTTTATATTTTTATAATACTTAGAAATGTTTTATATTAATACTCTTGTCCATCTAAAATTGCATTTTAAACTACTGAATATTTTTGTTTTCACAAAACATCCCATTAAAATTGTAGAAATTTCCTACGTAATTTTGAATCAAATTAATAGTAAATTTATAGAATCAGTTTTTTATTAAAAATAATATAATATTATAAGGAATAAGTAATTAATAGTAAAATTACTTTTATTTCATTTTTATTTAATGTTATTTAAAATTGAAATTATATTTCACTTATTATTGTTAAAGATTAAAATAATTTTTTTGTTCACAGATGACTAGAGTAGTTGCTATTCAAACTGAACGAGATCGCCAAGCTAAAACAGTATATGAAAAACCACCAGCTATGCACACACTTTAAAAATATAACATGCATGTTTTTAATTAAGTTAAATAATTATAACAGATTAGAGTCAATAAATATTGAAAATAAAATTATTTTAATTGAAATAGTTAAGTTTTAATTCAAACATGTGTAAATATAGTACAGTTGTAATGTTTAAAAACAGTTATAACAAAAAAAATGAGGATAAATTAATTGCCATTTGTTTTAATTCGTTTTGCTGAACTGCCATTATCATCATTTCTTCGTTTATTATATCTTTTTCCTCCTTTATTTTTGTTTTTTTCCCTTTTCATTCTATCTTTCATGTTGATTATTCCTTTCATTTCTTTTGTCATTTCATTTAACACAGATTGTTCAACATCTTCCTCTGGTAATGATAAATTAATACTCAAGTCTTCCTTTTTATCAGATATCTCTTCTAATAAGTCTTTTGCTAGTTTAACAGGCTTTAATCGAATCCAAGCAACTTTTTCTTCACTTACAATTTTAACAAAAGCAACTTGCCAATCTAATTCTAAACAAACATTTTTGATACTGTCAACAGTAACAGATTCATCAAGATTGTCAGCTTTAAGTAAATATCCTTTTTTAAAATATTTTTCAGTTTCAGCCTTTATTTTTTGATCTTTCTTAGCTTGTTTATCTTCATATTCTTTTTTCTTTTGTTCAAGAAAATCTTTTTCCCACATACGTTCCAATTCAACATCATTATATTTGATAGATTCTTGTTTTAAAAAGTTTTCAGCCTGTTCTTTAGTATTAAATGTAAAATAAAGAGTACCTTTAAATTCTTTGGTTTTTAATCTCCGAGGAGTGACTTTAGTTATCACTTGATCACCAAAGGTTGAAGCAAATTCTAAAAGTTCATCCATAGTAGCTGTTTTTGGAAAACCTTTACAATAAACAGATCGTTCTATCAATTCATTTAAAAATTCTTGATCAGCAACAGGTACAACACTGTCAGGAGTACGTCTAATTTTTTCACCGGTCTCATCAACTTCTAAAATACTATCTGTAGCGTTTTTAACTGCAGAAGCAATAACTTTTGGGTCATTAGATATGGATGCTAACCTTTTAAATGTTAATAATACACTGATTTTTACCCAACCATTGTCATTTTTAATTTCGTTTTGCAAGAATTTATCATATGGTAAATTTGTGTCACTAAAATAAAATCCAAGTTGTTTAACTATTTTAGAATCAAGATTTGCAGGAGCATCTTCCTTGACCGGAGCAACTACGGTTTCATCTTCGGTTTTACCATTAGATTCCATAATGTCGACTGTAATAAAAAAATATATTATTAACATGTGCAATAAACTTGTAAATAAACGTTTCGTGTACAGATACAACAAAAAAAAAAATCGTCAATAACTATACCTAATGATCAGAGTTGCTAAACCACTCGATGGACGAACAATTAAATCGAAGTATTAATAATAAGCGCGAAACGAAATAAGAATAAAAATTCACTGTTAATTAGTATACGTATTTTGATGTATGTTATAATCAATGTTTATTATAAACACGACCGCAAAAAGTAAGATATATGAACATGAGGTTAACTGATTACGTTTTATTTGAGGTTAACTTTGAATATAAAACGTTTCGTTCCGATTACAGTGTTCCATAGAGTAATATTACTCTATGCAGTGTTCACAGCACCAGATAATATAATTATATATAAATCATAGATGTTTATGTGAACAATGGATAATTTATAATTATATAAATAAAGATTCATTAAACATTTATAATTATACAGCTTAATGTATCTTCATACCATAATATGAATACGGTCTGTGACATAATTATTTGAAACGTTTTGTGGTGCACCGTTTAGTATTATAAAATATTTATTTAAAATGTCTTTCGTTTTAACTTATCAATTGCATTTTTGAAAACGTAGTTTTTGTAATCACTATTCTGCATTTCGCGGTATTACCAAAGTGTGGTAATATATTTACTCATTTTAAATTACAATTATTTTGAAAATTGAAAGTTATATCATAGAATAGATTAAATGTATTCTGTGGTTATATTTTTTCATTCATTTGAAGCTGGAATTTCTATGTTAAATAACTTCGAATAATTTTATTGCAGTATAATTAGTATATTTTAATATTTTTTTTTTTTTTTTAATTTTGTGCTCCAAATTGACTAAATATCATTAAAGTAAGAACAATTATTTAAAATATAAGTAGGAAAGTATAAAAGGGGGGAAGAATGTTAAGTTCTGTGAAGTTATATAAATATTCAGGCTCATTCAGAGATATTTTAAGTCCCTTATTATATGGTAGAATCATATAAGTGGTCTTTATATATATATATATTTACATTTTATGTTAGAATATTAAATCTAAATACTTTCCATAAACAATGAAAAATTGTACCAGTCATCTGACATTATATTATATGTACTTTATTATAAATATATTTTTAATATTATCAATACCAGTTTGTTTACCATATTTTCCATTTTTTTGGTACTCATTCATTTTCTTTGAATGTTTCTTGATTTTTCTTCTGAGTTTTAACTAAAAGATTTACTAAGAAGTGCAGTGGGGCATCATAATTATTTTACCTTTGGGGATCTATATAAATATTGACCCAGAAACCCCCTGTTTGAACGGGGATAGTGAACTATTTTAAATTTTTTTTTTTACATAAAATAAATTGTGTTTTATTCAAGTTATATTATCTATTTTTCTATTCTGACATTTTTACATCTATAACTTTTATAAAGTTATAAACTTTTATTTTTTACATCAATGTAATCGAGGAATTACCTTGAAACATGATAGAACCTATTAAAACATTTATAAATTTGCATAATATAATATGTATAATTTAGATTGAGTAATAATTAATAAAAATTCTTGTAATGCAAGTTGTAATGTAAATATATATTTATAAGTACGTTAAATAATAATATACTCATAATAACTCATAATTTCCATATAATAACAGTTGATAAGCAATTAGAAGAACATAATAAATATATGTAAGATAGAATATTTTTTTATGAACATTATTATTTTTATGTTACATTTATTCTTCTAGACAAATTCATTTGAAATATCCTCTATTTAAAATATCTCTTTCCAGTGGCGTAACCATGGGAGGGGAGCAGTGGGCCATTGGACATATCAAAGTTTTACATAATTATAATATTGTTTATTTTATACATATAAAAAATTCATTGTGTTCTCCTTTGCTCTTAATTCTTATCAATTTGTTTGATAGTAATTTTTTTTTATCATTTTTTATCAAATCTGTTATTTTGTTCTGTTTTTTCGCGTACGCCGAATTCCGAGTTGACTGTCATGAGAAGAACAAATTTAGTTTAGCGTCCACTCAAATTTTTCATTTTTTTTTTTTTTTTTGTAATCTAGACAAATCAACGTTTTAAAAATGATGGCGCAAAAATAAATTGACGGAAATCATGAGTTTTTGAGTTATACAATTTTGAAAATTACGTATTTTTAATGATATATTGTATAGACACCTTTAAATAATTAATATTCCATCAAAAATTAGAATTCATCTTGTAGTCCAATGGTTAATAACTGGTTCAAATATCTAGTCGTAATTGAAATTTTTTGCATTTTTTTTTTCCGATAAAACGGAACAAAGTTATCAAGCGATTTTGGTTTTAAGTTATTCACTTTTATGAATAGTCAATTAAATTAAATAAGTAAATTATTATTTTACTTTTTTAATATTTTATTCTCTTCCCTCAAATTTTTTGTAGATAGAATTAGTTATTGTAGTTGTTTACTGAAAACATCAAATTTATCGCTCATAAAATTCACCGTGCCAGTTAAATTCTTAAAAAATTGGTTAACATATGAGCCTCATTAGCTTCCTTAGTATTCTTTATAAACATTTTCGATTTAGAATTATTACTGAATTTTAATTTTGGAGCAGCACCATTTTTGTTTAGCATTATTTGATATTTTCCTGAAAGCTGATTCTCGTAATACTGCACATCTAAAATGGAAAAATCCATTACAAATAGCATAGATTAACTCGTCGTCGTCGTAAATATCATCATTACATATGTTACATAACATTTTTAAAAAAAAGGAACAAGAAAAGTGAATATTATTAAAGAAGTGATGTGCTCTTATAGCACGCACGTCTATACCAAACAAAGGTTAATATACAAATATGTATTTTATTAGTATAACCATTGATTATAAATAGTTATATATAGGGCTAGGATTTCGATGCACTTTGCATTTTTTTCTGAAGCTTTCTGTACAATAGGTACTTGTTTTGTTACTAGTATGTTTTAGGTATTTTTAAATTAGAATAAGAAATTTAACTTTGCATTTTTTGACAATTTTTGATTTTAAAGTCATTTTTCTCATTTTTTTTTGGGAATTTTTAGGGTTTTTAAGTCTTGGTTTTTTTAATTTAGAATTATAGATTATAGATTTTTTCTACCGACGGATTAGTGTTATTGTGTAAGGTATGCAATCTAAATGTTGCTGTTAAAAAAATGTTTTACGTTAAAGAAACAAACATATAGATGGAGTACAACGAAGAGAACAAAGAACAAGAAAAAAAATATGTATATCTACAAAAACTTATTGGGGAACAACCGGAGGCATGCTCTCATGATTAAGTGTAACAATAAAGAATAATTTTTTATTTATTAATATATGAAGTAAAATATAATATTTATGTACATGTAATGTAATTTTTATAAATTTTAAGCTATTTTAAAGGTATTTTTTAATGCATTTTTTGATTTTTTTAAGTCATTTTTCGCGATTTATAAGGACATTAAAATCCCAGCCTTATATATTTATAATCAATAGTATAATGATTTACTTAAACATGATAATTAGTTGTAAAACATATTATTCATGAAATCATAACTTGTTTATTTATCTATTTTATTTATTTTATTTATTTATATACATTAACGGACGAAGTCCTTTTAACAATTTAACACAAAACAATTGAATTTAGATACCATATAAAAGTTTAAACATGATAATAATACAATAATAATAATAATAGGTAATATAAAATACTAATAATACAAGTAGTAACAAAAATTTTCAATATTATAATATATTATGATAAATGGTGTTCTCATTGACCAACCACTTTGCTTATACTATTTTAGTAATATAAACTGTTTGAAGACTATATAAAGACCTTATTATCTTAGTAGTTTTAATATCATTCTAATTATTTGTATTTTTATCTTTAGTATGTTCAATACACCACGTTTAAAAAAAGAGCTTAACCAATTACTTAATAAACCTTCAGTTGGAATAAAAGTTAATGTGAAAGAAGGATCTTCTTCTGTTTTGGAAGCTGGTAAAAATTTAATTTTATTCACAAACAATTTAAATAAAATTAACATATTTTAAAACCATTGTATAATATATTGTATAACCATTGTATTATATATTTAATTATTTTAGAACTTCATGGACCAAAAGATACCCCTTATGAAATTGGAATTTTTAAGTTACAAATGGAACTACCTCATAAGTAAGTATTAATTAAATTATACTTATACTAATGTGGAGTATCTATACAGAATTATTAACTAAATTAATAAAATACTTATAGAAATAGTTTATGCATTATGTTTTGGGTTAGCCAAAAGTGGACATATATAAGTTATACATAAGTTATATACATATATATATATACAATGCCGTAACTGGGGGGTCCAGGGTGTCTGGATCCCCCGAAATTTCTTCAATATTTTTAATACCAACTTAAATATTTTCAGTAAAAAATGACTGAATGGATTCGATCTGTGTAGTTTTTAAGGGGTTGAATATTGGCAATTTGTTACACGCATGCATGAACGCCATGAGAGTGTGTGTGACGTAAATGATCACTAGTGTGTGTAATTACCCCGCTCTATACCCTCTTCTTATATGCTATGCCGGGCCATATTATTAATCTCGTGTTGCTAATCACCAATGCATCGGCGCGGTGATAGAACCAGTTTTTCAATAATAGCTCGTATTTTATTACTAATACCATTGATTATAAATACTATTGACGATGGTGAATTAGAACTAGAATTTGAATCAGTTTCTCGAACTTCTGTTTGTGTACTGGAGTTTGTTTCTTCTGGTAATTCTCTATATCCTTTAATACGTCAGCAGTTATACTTCTCACTATCCTGTTCACAGTTATTATATGTTGTAGAACATTTCATTAGACTATCTGAACAAATATGGCCAAAACAACAACGATAAGTTCTAGTTGTTGGATTTCTGTTATACCTAAATATTTATAACAAAATTTGTATAAGTACATTGATTTTTAATGAAAAACTAATTTTTAAAATACATTTAGGTATAGCTTGATGGGTACCATAAATTATGTTGGAATATATTTTTGTTAGTTATTCATTATAAAAATAAAAAACATTTACAATAATAACTGTAAAACTAAAGTTGTTGCAAGTATACCTATTAATTATTTCCTATACATAATTGATAATTATGCAAATATAATTTATAAAAAAAACTGATACCTATCACTAATTATATAATTTGTATACATATCCATTTTTTTTGTCGTATTATCAAAAATAAATTCTTCAGAGGATCTTGCGTTAGCTTATTGGTCATTAAAAAATAATCATCTTCTGTATGACAATGTTTTTCATCTTTTTTTTAATTTTCTTGTAGTTGGAAAATCGCAGATACTGTCCAAATTACCCCAGTGAAACAAGGGGCACACTAAATTTGTTTGTTTTGTGACATATTTTGACCGCATTTTGAAATAATTTTTTTAGCCGTATTTAAATATTCCAATACTTGTGGAATATGACTACTAATTAGTCTCCGGTTTGGATTGAGATCATATAGATTTTTACTATTCCCTGAGTCGAACATGTTATTGACTTTATCAATAAATTCAGCTGTATCAATGGCCGAATGTGATTTGAGTTCTCCTGTTGTTAAACATGTTTTTATTGACGCCGAAACCGAGTGACTTAAAAGCTGAATAGCCAATTTGCAAGACATTTTTTGAAACTGATTTGGAGCCAAATGTGTTGGTGTGATTTTAGGCATTGCACGTGATTTGTTCTTAATGTCAATTTCATATGTTTTTATTATGTCTTTCACTGATGCAAGTTTGGTATTATTAAATTTGAAATCACCGTTCAGTAAATTGTTTCGTACACTTTTTATAAGGTTAGGTAAATCATAAATCAAAAATATTTTTTGTCGCATTTTTTGTGGATTGTCTTCAGTCTATTTAAGAAGTGTGTACATTCGATGATTTTGAGTACCTTGATCACAAACTATGCTAGTGGCCATCAAACCCAAATCAATAATTTTTTGTACGCACTCTTTTATAATAAGAACCAGATTATCACCTTTAATACCACTTCCCGTAAAAAAATAACAAAGAGGAAACTTCCAATTTGCATAAAGACCACGTTGCATAACGACTAAAGCATGAGAACAATTTTTGTCACTTCGGCCTAAAGTTCCTATATCTTCAAATCCTTCAATAACATATAAAGTTTTGTTGTATTCTATGCATTTCATGATTGATATCTCGTCAAGAAGGATAACACATTTTTTTTCTGAATAATTGAATTCGGAAATCTTTAATTTAATTTGCTCCATGTACTCGACGGAAAATCCAGTGGAATATAAAATAGAATTTAGCCAATGACGAACAGTACTTTCTCCAGGTAATATAATGCCGTTTCGGCGCATGTATTTATATGTTGAAGGTGATTTATAATAAATAGATAGAGCAACTTTTTTCCCTTAGGTGTCCATGGTTTACGTGTTTTGTGTAGTATTTGCATTGTTGTTAGAGCCTTTGAATTCACTGATGGAAATTTAGTCATTTCAAAAAAAATTTTTGATTCAATTTTTTTAGTTTGTTGCTTTTTTTTTGAATCCTTAAGACTTTGAATAATATAACGTTTTTGTTTTAATAATCTTCTCATTTTGATTAACTTTTTTCTTAATTTATTATTTTGAACAATCAAATTTTCCGGGTTACTTGTATTATTACGGGGTTTTTTTATTGGTGCAATATTTACATTTGAAAGACTAATTAAATTTGATACCTAATTTTTCGTAGTAGGAGAAATAGTTGTTAATGATGCAGGACTACTTTCGCATATTGAAATATTTTTAACGAGTGTATTACTATCAGTTGCAATATTTTTATATGTATGTTGCGGTGTCAATACTTTTAGTACCGGCGAAGATGAAACAAATGAGCAGTTTGGACCTACATTAAAAAATAACGTAGTACAATTTTACAATTTTAGATAATTACACGACTGCATAGGGGGATACAAGCATATACAACGGTTACTAACGAAAAAAAAAACAAAAAAAATTAAAACGGGCACTAATCACGGATAGAATATCTCACTAATTTTGATGGATCAATATTTTGACTTAGTTTGTACTATTTAATATTTATAAATATTTTAAATTTTATGTTTTTTGGATTTTGAGTGAAACGAGAAAGATATTGGTTTTACCATGGTATGTTTTTTGTTTAATTTTAATTTGTTTTTCGAATCTGCAGTGTGCCTACACGTATTTACTATTTAATATTTGACCAGAAATATGGCTAAAATTAACTAATTATTAATTAATAAATAATACAAGATTAATCTAAATAATAAAGCATAGTCTTCATCCTCATTTTAGGTAATTTCAATTACCTATAAATACTATAAACATTTTCGAAATCTTTTGAAATTCACAACATACTTATAAAATGGTCATATTATAAGTGTTCTATACAAATTTTAACATCATCGTATTATTATTTTTTGAGTTATAATGAAATAGCTAACATCGTAAAATCGAAATCGTGAAAACCTTTGGTTTTGTCAAAATATAAAATTCAAACGCTTGTAAAATTTTCAATTCTTTATCAGGTAATTTTTTTTTTAATTCGTTTAGTTTCGTAAAAAGAGCAACTTTTCAAGAATATGGTGCTTAATTTCCTAATAATAATATAATACTCTTAGTATAATATAATTTTAAATAATATTATAAAATTACCTAGAGTATGAATTTATTCGTAGTTAGACTGATTTATCCGAGATGTTTTCTTTGGCATGGTATTTATTGTGTCGCTACAAATATACTCTTGTTCTGAAACAAAATAATAGACAATAAAATTACTTAAATTTCCACTCATAAATTAAAATAAAGTTTACACACCTCCAACGAGTTGACTTGGTCCATCTATAATATTCATACTGGAATTCCCTTCAATGCAATTTTGACGTCCTAGAAAATGTGCATATTTTATTTAAATACAACCATTGAACATAATAATTACCAGCGTATTGAAATTTTAAACCCACTTCGTGTAATAATGGATTATACATTTATACAGAATTATACAGTTACTTAACTTAATATTGGTTAGGGACAGCATTTTTCATGAGTCGTGATTTTGGATTTTTTTAATTCATATACATTTCTTTTGAAAAATAATCATAACAAATGTATTTTTTTATCAAATTTTTTGGACTTAGTCCTTCTAAGACAATGTTACCTAAAATTAATTTATATTTTACATTTCTACCATAAACTGTTCCATATTCAAAAATGATAGGTATTCTAAAAAATAATATTCAAGCACCAGAATGAAAACATTACTTACCAGAATTTATTATCCATTCTTTTGCAATATCTGTATTAGAAGGAAATGTGTGAAATACATTCCGACTTGTTTTTCGATTTTTCGTAAAATTATAGTACATACATTTATCACCTCCTGACATTTTATAAAATAAAAATTTACAAAACGTATGTAAATTAATGTGTTAAAAAAAAATACGAATTTAATAAAAGTATAATATTATAATATTCTTAATTTTATATTATGATGTTGTCCGATCGACCACTGGAAACACTATGGTACAAGTATAAATATTAAGTACTGAAGTAGATACACAATAGTCAATAATCAAATATTATTTATATTTTAAGGAATGAAGGAAATTAAGTAGTATTTGAATAGCAAGACACTATAATTAGAATTTTGTTCATCAGTCGTAAGACGTTTTATCATTGATTTTGATTTTTTCATATTTATATCTAGTTTTAAAATCTGTTTTATCAATGTAAAAACTATTACATTTACCATGTCGATTTAAAAGCTACTTTTATTCTATTTTATTATTTTTTGCTATTATTTAAAATCCAAGTGATTGACTTAGAAAATTTACTGTAAGTACTTTATACTATAATAATTATCAATATTAATATGAGGGAGTTGTTTAATGGTATAATGAATATGTATTTTATTAATTTATAATACACAAAATAAAATAGACAACGATCTGTATAATATAGTAATTTAATATGTACACCGGGCAGACGTGCATTGCATACATCAGTGACCACTGACCAGTACACGTAAAACGTAATATTTTTAGTATTGCGTATTTTACGGTGTACAACAGCACGACTGTACTGAATTGGCATTGTCGTGTAATAATGCAAATGTAACAATAGCAACAATGCGAAATTAATATAAATTAAACAAGGATAGATCGAGGAATGAGACGGCTGATCGGTAGATGCCGAATAGGTACTCGCAATTATCATTTTGAATACACCTCTCCACCGCCCCCAGACATGACTACTAGCGATTACGGTGTTACCCGATCAAACTAACCTTGCGATCGCAGCGCTTTAAAGCGGCACCCGATTATTACCGTGCCGTCAAAAAACCAGTCAGTGAACAATCTATAGTATTTATAATCAATGGTTCTGGTTAGTTATTTTCTATGTAAAATTTTATTAATTTTGGTTCTATATTAGTCCAGAACTCCTCATTCCTCTCAATTTTATCTACCAAAAATTAAAAATAGCCATCAAGTACACATCATAATTAATATATAACTATTTTGATTTACCATGTCAGTTGTACGATTTTCTCGCCATTTTTTAAGTGCATCAAAATTTTCTCGATGGTTTTTCATCAGATATTTTCTGCAACGTTTTTGTAGCAAAACGTTCTGCATAATGTAGATATCACAGAATTTATATTTTATTTATGTGTATTTAAGCTATACCATAATCCAAATACGAATGAGCTACTACAGCTAATTTCTAACATTTTCATTCTCATTCACAAAATTACTTATGTCTTATCATTGAGAGTTTATTTATAGGCTTTTGAATTATTGCAATATTTAGCCCAGTTTCATTTGGGTACAATATAATATAAAATAAACAGATTGATAACGATGCGTGCACTATAATTAGCGGCAACTATTAGCAGAAGAGGGTTACTTCCACACGCGCATACACAAGTCAATACACACTGTTGCAAGGAATATGATTTAGTTCTATTTTTTTCGAAAAGAATCAATTTTTTGCCAATTATACTGGTTTCCTTGGTCATCGGATAAAACTTCTAAAAACATATTTGAATTAGTCATGAAGTTTACTTGAAATCGACTTTTTTACATTTTCAAATTATTTTATCAATTTCATATTATTTACATTATAAATTTATTATTATTGTAGATATTAAAATACATTTTTTAAAGGTATAAAAATAATAATTCAAAAAAGTAAAAAAGTCGTTTTAAATTCAACTTCATGACAAATTCAAATATGTTTTTATAAGTTTCTTATCTGATCATTGGGCAGTTCAGTACAATTGGCAGAATATAAGTATATTTTGATAGAAAACTTAATCCGGATCGAAACCCCTTAAGCTCCGATTAATCATTGACTGCTTTTAATTTTATATCATAATATCATATGAAAATATGATATTAATTTTAATAAAAGAAGATTAAATTTTTTTCTGTTTTATTTTTAACTAAATATCAAATGTTAAAATCTAGATTCAATAAAATTACAATAAACATGTTTTGAACCCCTCCCAAAAAAAATTTCTAGATACGGCCTTGTATGTATATATACTCGTATATAGGATTGCCATAAATTTATAAGGCGAAACCGGGACAATACACACAATATTGAGTAATATTCTTTTTATATAACTCTTAATATATTGAGAAGACCATTGTGGTATACAAGGGGGGATGTGGTGGTCAGATCCCCTCTAGGACTTTTTTTAAATATTATAAAATAATGTTTTTATCGTGAGGAGGGCCTTAGAAACGTAAAGAAAAATAATGATTTGTTTGCAAATAATTCTCCCGCTCCCATACAAAAGTTATGTATACACCATTGAAGAGGATCATTGATGGCTGGCAATATAATATTTAAAAATATTTTTGTAAAATAAAATATATTATATATTTATATGTGTAAATTACAAATTATGTTTTTATTATATATTGTTGTGACATTTTCGTAATTGTTCAAGAGAACGATTTTTTTTTTTAGTTTAAGCTGTTATAAAAATTCAAAAATGTAAAGAACTCTTATGAACTCTTTGTTATATTTTCCTTAACGTGTAACGAGTAATAAAGATCAAAAAACCTGCAATTACCACATTTGTATTCTTAAAAAAAATTTAAAAAAAATATTGTACTTAACACATTTTGTATACATAAAAAGTAATACTTAAACACATCACATTTTTCTTCTAATTCCAATAAAGAACAACAATTACTTGAATAATGTTATAATTAAATTTAATATTTACTTAAATCATTTTTTAAAAAAATGTCACTTATTACACTTGTGCGCTACACCATCGAAATGGTCAAAATTAAAAATTAAACAATATTACATTTCCTCTAAACGTCTAAGCTGGAACATATGGACATCCTGAAAACATTTTTCGGGACCCCGGGATACAAAGTCCAAAACCGGTTACAATCCCTGTTTTCCGGGATGTATGGCAACTCTACTCTTATTTAATAACAGTTAAATCAAGTTCTTTGTTTATTATAGTAAAAAATTCTGTGAGTTATTATTGTTGTTAATAATAAATAAATTCTAGGTATCCATTTGAACCTCCTAGGGTGACATTTGTAACACCCATTTATCATCCAAACATAGATAGCAGTGGAAGAATTTGTTTGGATGTTTTGAAAATGCCTCCAACTGGTGCTTGGAAACCATTGATAACATTAGAAGGTGTTTTAGTTGCCATCTGTAATTTAATGAGCTGTCCAAATCCTAATGATCCACTTGTACCTGATATTGTATGAGCATTTTTATTTCTCCTAAATGCTTAATATTATATTTGTAAATTTTGTATTATGGTTTTCAGGCAAAAGAATTTAAAAATGATAAAGAAACATTTGAGTCTAAAGCTAAACACCTCACTAAAATACATGCTACAAAACTTAGTGTAAACTCAGTATAACCTTATTTTATTTAATACATTTATATTTGATTGTTTATGATACAATAATGTGTAGTAATATTTTTTTCAGCATTGTTTGTATTTTTGAAATTGTATAAATTATCCATTAATTATTATTTATTATTAATACATTAATTTTTTCTGGAAGTATTTATTATATATTATTTTTTAAGATTACTCATTATTTTATGATTCGCGAATAAAACTATTAAATATATAATTAAGATCATACATACATACATACATGGTTATTATACTTGTTTAAAAAATTATTTTTTTTATTATTATTAATTTCTAATGTAATATCTAGGCTTAGGGACTTCTAGCATTTGCATATTTTTTTAATTATTGTTAAATATAGCAGAGTGCGAAATAAAATCGTTTCTCGGTTTCATAATATCAGATCTAAAATTTGAATTTGCATATTTTTGCATATTTGATAGATTTTGTAGGAGAGTGCATATTTTAAAATGTTTATTCTTATTTTGCATATTTTGACAAATTTTCCAAATTTAAAATTAAAAACTATGGATACATATTTCAACCCATCGAAAGAAAAATATATTAAGAGGACTTATACTTCCAGTAATATGTTATCTGCAAACTACCTTTCATATTTCGTTATAATTTTCGTGTAAGTATAAATAATACTATAAACCTGTATTGACCGTATAACCCGCTAGATATCGACCAGATGTCGATAAAGATAATAATTGATATAGAATAATTGATTATTTGTTTAGTGTCCAGTTCAGTTGATTGTTATCCAGAGCCGTAGCTAGGGATGGCGAGAGGTGCCTACGCCCCGGGCACAATTCCTGGGAGAACGCAAAAATGAAAATCTTGCGTTTAATGTTAAAAATTACAACGGTCAATGTCGTATATTTTGTTTAACAGCCTTCATATTATAATCAAAACAATAATCAAAAATAATATCTAATAAGCATAATATTTTCAAATTGAAAATACGTAAGGGCGCATTTTGAAGTTTTGCCCTGGGCGCAATGTTTGGTTGCTACGGCATTGTTATTATTCGTCGTTGTTTTTGTATTTCGCAATCACACAACTTCGAATCAGATGTAAAACGTCTTACGCGTATATTTTATAATATTGTGTAATACCGAAAGTACATCGTCTACGAGTAGCCGATTACAAAGTTTGTTTCGGAGTTTAAAGATACATTTACATCCAATGAACACGTTTTATTTTGTGTACTATGTGGTCATTTTTTTTTTTTTTTTAATGCATATAAATGCATATTATAATGCATATTTTAATGATTTTAGAAGCATATTTGCATGCATATTTGTGTATATTTTAGAGCTATAAGTCCCTTAGCCTAGTTATAACAATTCGATAACTTGATTAGGTAAATGTTTTTTTTTCAATAACTACACAATTAATTTCAATAATTTATATATTAACATTAGTGGGCTAGAATTGCATGTTATGATTTGTATTTAGCGATAAAAATATAATATTTTATTAAACCATAATTAAATAGGTAAAATAATTTACTGTTATTTATAATAATAATAATAATATCAAGTTAAATACGTAAACATTTGTACCCTATACAATTTAGACAGTATACAGTTATTTAAAAATCATTTTCATATAACATTTAAAAATTAATTTCGTTTTGAACTGTTAATTAAATATTTGCAACAATGCGTGAGCAAATGTTTTTCACCATTTATGCTACCGTTGGTATGGCGATGTTCGTAGTTTTCATCAGGCTTGTATGACAATGAAGATGATATCTCTCTTGTGTATACATCCAAACCGTATTGACCTTCTTCAGGAAATCCAATTAAGAATGTTATAAAATCGTCCATGATAGTGTGCGAAATATATTTTGCCAACCGTTTCTCCTCCACACCATTTTTATGCAACGTAGCCATAAAATCTGTCAGTGGCTTAGACATTCGGAATTGAATTTCTAGTTCACGACCAGCAAATACTAACGGATCCTATAAAGAAATACAGAAATATAAAATTAACAAAATAATATGTCCAGTAGTACATTAACAGTCAAATGTTTATAATTAATAGGCATAATAATTAATATTTTAAACAATAAGTTCTTATAAATGTTGAAGGTTTTATAAGGAGGTCCAAAATATACAACGATACCTAATGGTAGTTATATTTTGAAGTATTTAAATTTCTTCTATGTAGGTAAACTCTTGGCCTCTCATTCGATACCTATCTTATCTTATTGTACTTGTATAATTAATATACAACTGAAAATCAGTTGTACTTAACCTGGGCTCCGCCAAACTTTTTTTTTATAATTTGTGAAACACCCTTTGGCAATATAGCCAATCATTAAAATATTATGTTTTTAATTACGGCCACCCGCCTGCGTAATATAAAAATATTTGTGTGGCTCAAATTTCTTCTGTACTAAATCATAATCTAAAAGTCATTATGAACTTTTATTTTTCAAATAATAAACCGTGAATTTTCATTCTTTCATAACTAATTTTTATTAATATTAACAGTACTACATAGAAATCACTAAATTGCCATACTAGTAAATATTTACTAGATTATGTACTCAATATCATAACTATAATTAATGCTATCAGCAAAATCAAGTAAAATCTGTTTTACCTGATGCGATATAGGTATGAGACCAAAGAGCCGTGTAGCTTTAGTAGGACCCCACTCGCCGCTTGCGCAGTCCGGTAGGGGTACCATAACGGTTTGTAATTCTTCGCATATGATTTTAAACTTGCACACGCTCTTAAACTTCATAGGTTCTCCGGTCAAATATTCTTTTGGCGTTACTGAATTGGCAAATATATCCAACAGGAACGCTCCACTGTTTGGAGCATGAACGCGGAATGACACGATATTTCCCAGAACGGACTTGAAAATGTCAGAACACAAATGCGGATGTAATTATTGTATTGAGTACATTTATTTTTATAATACCTGCATGACAAAACGCTTTAAGCTCACTCCGTCGTAGGTGTCCCCTTCGCTTTCGTAAAATTTTAAATTATAGTGGAATATCAGGTTGGATTGCATGTTGGTCGGTATCGCTATTCGCACTGTAGCAGCTCCTGTTATGAATAATATATTTTGCTTTTAATCAAGCGAAAGTTTTGAATACATCTATTATACGCACTACTAGTTATGGCAAGTGTAACGTAATAATTACAGAAATCATATATAGTACTTTATATCATTAAAGAATCATCGAATGAGTATAATTAACTTAGTTTTTAGAACCTGACTTGTAAGATAATTATCTGGATATTAATTTCCATTTTTGATTAAGTTTAAGTGTTAATTGGGTTTAGATAATAATGAAATAGTCAAGTTAATACTGAATCATAAACAGCTAGCCTGTTTTTATCAACTTTTTGTTCTACTCCTTTTTTTTTAAGTTTCAATGTTTTTATGGACCGATAGGGGTCATATATTACATAAAATGTAAGAAAACATTATCTTAAAGATGTGGGTGTAGGGTACATAAAATTTTACGACTAAAAATACCTCGGTACTTATGTATTATTAGAACATTTATTTTTACCTGGGTCAAAATTAGTTATGGATTTCAGTTGCTTTTTGCATACCGTAGTAAAAAAAAACGTGAATAGTAAGATAGGTTTTTTAAGTTATAAAGTATTATGATAACAACTTAAGAACAGCTATAGTTTATATTTTAAAATAATAATTACTATAAAAGTTGATAATGTAAAATAATTAATTAAATATATATAGAAAAATAACCACTTTTGATAAAATTTAAATTGTTTTTATAATTTGTGAAAAATTCTTAATCCGTATCCGAATTTAGATATCTATACAAATGTGTTGATGATCTTTTACCAAAATTCGGTAATACATTATTGAAATAATGGGTGATAGAAAGGATCGTCGGTGAAGATTATTTATGGAGGAGGTTTAATTTATTTAGGTAAGAATTATTTGTATTGGCAACTCGTCGTGTACATGTGCACAAGTGTACGCGCACTACCTACCCAAACTCAAAAAAAAATTCAAAACATAAACCATAATACTACAACTAAATACCTGTAGTGTTATTAAGATTATTTTTCAAAATATAAAAATATAAATTCAGAATATTATGAAAATAACATAATATTTAGATTGGGTTATTCTGAAGTCCAAACGGACAGGTGGTTGTCCGCGACGGAACGGTATTGGTGTGTGTTTTATAGTGGTGCAGTAGTGCACACTATTGCTATGCACATTTGTACAATGTAAAAATTAAAACAAGTCGAAACACAACACTAGTTAAGCTGATTCACACCTGTCCGGCACGGCACAGTACCGGGCTGAAACTTAACGGCTTATTATCATTCACGTGTTAGAATTTTGTAATTTGTTTTGAATTTTTTTAATAGGTGTTGATACCTGATAATAAGAATGGTACAAAAAATAATATGAGCATAGAAATAAATTGATATAAAAATCCTTATTCCTTGAATAAATTCAAAGAGTGGATTAAAATGTTGTATTTTTGATAAACTAACGTGAGGATTACAAATTGTACTTGAAAAGGAATATAGAAAATCAAATATTTTCAGTTCTAAATAAAATTATGTGAATTTGAATAGTTTTTCACCGATGTTAGTCGGTTTCTACGTTCACACTGCACCGACACTAAACGTACCGACGACACAGACCGGCACGAACCGGACCGTCAAAACATTCTTTCGAATGATGGTCGGTCAGGTGTGAATCAGGCTTTATAATGGAATTGATGTACACATAACCAATTAAATTGTTTTCAGGGAATTATTTTCAATGTCACCGCGCCGCTGCGCGTCGGCATCGGCATTATGATTTATTTTTACTCTTATTTGTTTATTATATTCTGATTATCAGCTGATAATGTTAGTCTTTATCTTCAAAACAACAATCGTGTTTCTGTTTACTATCGACCACCGACGTTAATGTTTACAATTTCTAATATACATATGTATCTATATGTATATATAATATTGGTTATATTTTTTTTGGATATGCTTTATTTCATTAAACACCCACGAGTCACCACTGATTATTTGTATTATTACCTATTTATTTACTGGCTGGGATTTTGGCAATAGGAAGTTAAACTTCCTATCCAGTGCCATAACAAATGGGTGTGCAAGGTGTGCAATGCACACGAGCTTCCCAAAGCAAAAGCTAAAAATTGAAGATAGTCTGTTTCAAAATATATCTAGCCAATATAGGTAATTAGTTGCTTTCTCGAGACTCGTGCTTCGAAAGTATTTTGATTTTTTGTAGTTGATTTTCAATACATTTATTATTAGCATTAGTAGATGATAATTAATATTAAGCAAGTACCTAGTATTTTAAAATGGATCAATAAATAATTCGGTTTTACAGTAAACAGGTATCAAATATATGAGTAATTATTTTTCATGGAAACCCGGTGCGATAGTAAGATCATGGCTGTTATATTATTTAGTAGGTTAGTACCTATTTATAGTTTTTTTGTCAGTAATATTGCTATTATCGATTATAGTCACTTATTGAGGGCCTCGACTTTATTAGTGTACAAATTATATGAATTGCGTAAATAATATTATAAAGTATAACAATATAATTTGTGGAATATTAGTCATTATCGCAGGGACCCTATCTGTTATAAATAGTGGCGGCGCACTGCAGATTTCACGCGGCAAATTACATGCTTAAAAACAATCATTTTATCTCAAAACCTTAAAAATATAAATGATCTATGTATATTTATTATTGAATTGGATTTGTCTTCAAGTAATCCAGATGTATTAACTGTATGTCTTTTATTTTTAACATTACCAATAACTGTTGCGTCAGCAGAACGCAGCTATTCTAAGTACAAATTAATAAAAAATTATCTTCGTAATTCTTTTTCAAGATCGAAAAATATAAGTATTTTGAATAAAGAAAACAAACGGACACGAGAACTCAATATTGATAAAGTTTTAACAGACTGCCAATGCAAATACTAGAAAAAAATTTTTAAAATAATTTAAATTTAAGGCGAATTAATAAATTGTTGATTATTATATTATAATTGATTGGTTGTATTAAAAAATAAAACTATGATTAATAATATTAATTATATTAATAATTTTATAACAGTTGATTTAAATAAAAAGAAAAATTAAATGCATGAATTAAAATTGATTTTAGACATTTTATGAATTTTATATTAAATAACTATATTATATAATGAACTATAAAATTTATAATACAAGCTTCTTCTCTAATTAGGAGGTATAATATATGACATACTATATATATCAGATTACAGATGATTAAATCGAAGTTATAACAATAAAAATACCAAGTAATTGCTATAATAATACAAAGATCAAGTAAAAAAAAAAATGTAATATTAATTTGGGGCCTCAAAATAAATCTTTGCACATGAGTTTCAGAATTCATAATTGCGGCACTGCTCCTATCCCTTCTTACCTACACTACTGTGTGTTAGATTTTGAATGATACAAGAAATGTAGTAGTTAATCATATGTGTTTTTTGTGTATGTGCACATAATTTTAACCAAAAGGATTTATCCGTATATCGTAATTAGGGCTCGGAAGTTGTTGCATTTGCATGATTTTTTTGAACCATTAGATTTATTGCTAAGCAAGCTAGAAATTCATTCCAAGACACTACGAAAAACATATCAAAAGTTTTTAGTGCATATTTTTGCATATTTAGTGATTTTTAGATTTTAGAGCACATTTCTTAATTTTACAATTTTTTAAAGCATATTTTATAATTTATGGAGATTAGGAGATTCAACATGAAAATTTGTAAATAAAAAAATAAATACATTCATATTCAGAGACCTTACTAAATATTCTTGTATCGTATTATTCAAATTTCCATTTGACATTAAAAACTGTTTTTCCGCTATCGGTTAATATGATATAATATTAATATATATACATAAATTACAACTACAGATAGCTTTATCTAAAATAGAATATTATACAAATCTAAAATAGAAACAGCTGCTATCGAAGTACGACGATTTTCTATAAATACTTTTATAGGAAAATAACTCAATGATTATTGACTATTGTTAATGGCATTTAAAGACCTACCGCTTAGATATTTTTGTCAGTTCCGGCTTATACGTCCGTGTTATCTGTTGTAGTTAGTAGTTCTATGCGTCATTCTTGTTTCAATTACCTACTTATATTATTTTTATTTCATAATGCCGAAAACCAAACAATCTGCGAAAAATCGTTTGAATAGTTTAGTTTTGGAATATGGTACGGATATAGGATATATTCAAAACCGACGGAAGTATTTTATTCTGTAAGTTATGTTAAGTGAAAGTTAACAGTGATCGAAAATTTGTGGTCACTCAACACGTTAACACTGAGAAACATAAACGAGCAATTATTAGAAAAAACGTAAAAAACACAAATTCTGAAATTCAACAGCTAGTAACTAATACTCCGAAAAAGTGTCTTTTTTCACACGATTTGTGTAAAGCATTATTGTCAGCAAACATACCACTTTACAAAATAAGTAATCCTCAATTAAAATCATTTTTAGAAAAGTATACGTCAAGAGAAATTCCTAGTGACTCGACACTACGCAAAACTTAAGTCGACGACATATACGAAGAAACTATAAAAAATATAAGAGAACAAATTAAAGGAAATAAAATATGGGTGTCTATCGACGAAACAACAGACTCTGAAGGCAGATATGTAGCTAACGTTATAATAGGAACTTTAAATACTGACGTACCGGGAAAAACTTATTTGCTAACAACCGAAGTTTTGGAAAAAGCAAATAATTCAACGATAGTTAAACTTTTTGATCATTCAATGTTCGTCCTCTGGCCAAACGGAATTCGTCATGATAACGTCCTATTGTTTGTGACCGATGCCACACCATACATGGTGAAAGCTGGGCGAATACTTCAATCACTGTACTTTAAAATGATACACTTAACATGTCTCGCACACGGTATCCATAGAGTAGCCGAAAGTATACGGGAAAAGTTTAAGAAAGTTGATAAACTTATTTCCAGGGTTAAACAGGTGTTCTTAAAAGCGCCTTCACGTGTTTTAGTGTTTAAAAGTGAAGCACCAGCCATACCACTTCCACCAGAGCCAATACTAACTAGATGGGGTACATGGATAATGGCAGCTTCCTATTGCTGCAAATATTACAAGGATATACGTAGAGTATTACTAAGTATAAATTCTGAAGATGCAATTTCTGTTAAAGAAGCTCAACAGTTAATTCAAGATCCCAATATGGAAGCTAATTTAGTATACATACATTCAAATTTTGGATTTATACCGGAATATATTACGAAACTTGAAACACAATATATTTCACTATCCGAAGCATTATCTGCAGTTAAATATGTCCAAAATAAATTAAACGACTGTGAGGGTGAAATTGGTGTTGTGGTATTTCAAAAATTCAATAATGTATTGGAGAAAAATTGTGGATTTAAAACGATACTTAATATTTCAAAAATATTAAGTGGACAAGAAAGTTCAATGGAAGGTCTTCCTGATGATTTGACCGGTGACGATATTACTTACTTCAAATATGCGCCGATTACGTCAACTGATGTTGAACGTAGTTTTTCAAGGTACAAAACTTTGCTCGTGGATAATCGGCGATCTTTCAATTTTGAAAACATTAAAAAAAGTTTAGTGGTCCAATGTAACACTTTGGAAGGTAAGAACAAAATTATATCCAATGCATTTTAATTATTAATTAAAATACTTTTTAATTAGGCATGTACCTGGTGGTTTTTCTAATTTAGTAATTTGTGTTATGTATTTCAGGTATATAAATATAACTCGACAGAAGTGCATTTTTTTACTCAAGGAACATTTTTAATTTTTAAAGCGATTTTTTTATTATTTTTTTGTTTAAATTATGATTAAAAAATATAAATAAAAATAACTTTTATTACTTTGTTTTTTTTTTTTTATTAACAAATTTAAAAAAATATTTGTGCTAATGAAAATGTTGTGTAAAATAATTAAATATAAGTGCATATTTTTAGAGCATATTTGTACTTTTTTAAGCACATAAGTGCATACATATTTAGTACTTTTTAAGTGCATTAAGTTCCGAACCCTAATCGTAATCATGGGAGGATTTTGGTGAAAATTTTTATTTTGTTAGTATTAGGGGGGGGGTAATTCGTGGAAAATTCAGATTCACTTTTTCACGGTCAATGATACATTGGTTGCATTGGTTTTAAATTTAAAAGATCAATATAGCAATATTATTCATCCGTCTCTGTACCTAACCATAAAGTTTCATCTAACTTAGGAGTTTTACCTTTTTTAAAATTTGATTGATTAATAATTTTTTTATTAAATCAGGCATTGTACAATAAAGTATATATTATATTTGTTTATATGGCGCAAAATATGTTGGTCTGCTCACAAAAATAGATATTGGATTTGGTTATCAAACTGAAAATTTAACCATTTTATATAAAGATTAATTTATTCAGAAATTTAAATAGTATGGTTTGTCAACATATAAACTGTTAGCATTAAGTATATTATATACTTACTTATATAGTAATATATAGTATATTTCCAACGTTTTATATATAAATTAATACAATTGTATAATAATTTACCTGTTGCATCCGTATACATGACGGCTTTTGTGTTGGAATCAGGAAAGTAAAGACCATATCTAAAGAATAGAGACCTAACGAACGGTAAATCTTCAAAGTCTCGTTGAGTGATAGGATTTTTTAGCAATTGCCATTCAGGTTGTAGCGGGAAAAACTCGTAGATGAACTCTCGAGGATCCGTCAAAAAGTAATGATCGTCGTATTCATACCTGTAAAATATTGTATTTATCATTATAAGATGATGGGCAAAAAAATGAAATATATTCATCTATTGTTGTTGCCAATAATTATTTATAGCCTTCGTCGTTTTATATGAACATCACTACAAACATTCGAACGGTTAAATTATTTTTATATTACGTGTAGGAATTACAAAATGTTAAAAATATTCTAAGACAATTTCAAGAAATGTTGTGAACGTTTTGTAGTGAAAACTGCTTTTAATTTATAATATTTAAAAATGTTTTACTCTTTAAATTATATTTTTATTCTTATAAATAAAATTTGTGAAATTTGTTCGTTTACTACGTTGTACTTAAATAATATAGTGTCGTATTTATGATGTAAACTAAATCTCATTAAAATTTGATAAAATATAATTATTAATGATATATTTTTATAACATATCGTTCCATACGTAACAATTAATGATTACTCAATTAAAAATATTTTACTACTATTAATTTAATTCCAAAAATACTACTATATTCCATAAACAAAATTTTTTACTGTGATCTAAGGAAAAGCATATAAAGTTACTAGTTATAAGATCTTAAATACATTATAAAACGATAATTACAAAAATATTTAAAAACTATTTTGTAATACAATTATTTCTAACCTGAGACTGTCAGATTTTCCTTTAGCGCCCACTTTGGGCACTTCTTTGGCGTTGACTAGATGCCGTGCTCCCCAATTACATTGTACGAATCGCCATGCTCCGGCCACATATACGGCATTCCACGAATTTCGGAAACGGCTATCTTCGAAATGAACACCAGGCTGGTAGCCGGCAGATTTTGAATATCCTTTGATGACAACACAATGCAAACCAGCGTAACTAAACATTAAATGTAAGTAATATTATGAGCTTTAGCATTGAATTTGTAAATCTTACGTTAGGCGCATCGAATACAACTTTCGTTTTGTGAAAAATAGCTAAAATCGTTGAATACTAAATATCCGAAGATGTAGATAACCTAGATAGGTTTAATTTAAATAATATTAAAAATATTGATTTTAAAACATGTATAAAAATCAATGGTTTAAAATTGGTCTGCAAAATGCATATTACGGGTACTTAATTTATTTTTTATAAAGTCATTAGCAGGGCTCATAACTTATAGCTTTAAAAAAAGTAATTATAAGCTCTATAATATGCTTTTAAAAATATTCATATAAGTGCTTAAATATGCACTAAAAATACAAAAATATGCAAAAATAAATATAACGTGAAAATTAAAAAATTTTCACTTTTTATTAAAAAAAAACGTATCACGTATAAAAAAAAAATTAACTTTTATTATTAAAATTCTGATAGCGTCGCTATATGATACAAATAAATATATAATTTAAACCAAAAGAAGTAGAATTAGTTAATTAAGATGAATTAATTAAAAATATAAAAATTAATACTACTATAATTACTTGTTATTATTAAGAAAAAATGTTTTAAACGCTACAGAATTGAAAAAAACTTAAAAAAGCAAAATAGCAAATAACAATTTTCTAAATATGCAAGAATAAGTCTGCAAAATAGAAAAAAAAGCAAAATAGCACTTATACTTTGAAATACGCAAAAATATGCAACATACAATTTCGTATTTAACTTCTTAGTTATATAAAACAAATGTATAGATCACATAGGTATCACTAGATCTCTCAAAAAAAAAAAAAAAAAAAAATGTAAATGCTATAAGTTATGATTCCTGGTAATTAGGATATAATTATTTTATAAGTACACCGTGAAAATTGTCGTAAGAAAAAATAAATAAAAATAAGATAATAAACTATGAAAATTAAATTATAACAATATTTTAAACTGATTTCATCTATAATATTGAAACGGAAAAATGTGCAAGAATAGTGGTGAATTCACGACTTATAAATTATTATTATTGTATGCTCACCTGCATAGTCGTTTAAATAGAACGTGGTAACTTTCCGTTCCATGTTTTATACCTCTGAGTAAACCCATGGGTGTATCGCCTCTTAAATTGTCATCAAAATTCATCGTGTTCAGATTTTTTACTGTAATCCATCGAAAAATCGTCCTAAATATAATAAAATGTATTATTTAATAAATATAAATAATAGATTAATGAATTATCTTATATCTTAAAATAAGTTTATACATTTTAGTTTCTATAATATTATTAATAGGCTTTTTGATTAATAGAAAAAATTTAATCACCAAATACCAAGTGTTTATTTTATACTGATGTTAATTGTTGTATACTTAATAATTTTTAAATAAATCTTGTTTTATTTTTTTTTCTTACCTAGCTTTTTCTATATCCGAACCGCATTTTCCAACTAACATCCTAACTAAGTCTGTAAAAGTTTTTTGGTCTTCTTGTGCTACCTATAAAAAAAATTGTCAATAAGTAAACATAAAATTAAAATATTTCATTATTATTATAATAAATTATGTTTTTAATATATTTTACATGATGTTTATTATCATTTTAGATAATTTAAATTAATATTTAAAAATAATTTGGATAATATATGAGTAAATAATCGACTTCGTAAATTTATTAGTGAATAAACCATAATTGCATCAAAACTATTTTCAAATATAGTGTCTATTTTTTATAATTTTTTATGGAATTCAGAAATGTAATGCTAAACGTTATTGTATGTATTCTTGTCATTGAAAACTACCAGAACGAATCGACGTGAAACCCCGTTTTAATAACGGAAATCGTGGTATGAAAAGGATCATCATAGTCTATCAATAGCGTTCTGTAATTTTTTTTTTTTTGATGTGTTAAAATTTTGTGCTTCAGTTATCATACATATTTTTTAAACGATCAACATTCTCAGTAATACATTAAAAACAATGAAATGTACTCGTACTATGAAATATTTAAAATACATATAAAAACCGTTTACTATGATGTGTAACTTATTTTTTATTCATTTTGCATAAAAGATATATGTGTATATTTATATAAAAATTACAATTTTTTATCTACCCTATATCATATAATATTTAATTGCATTAATGGCAATTAGTTTCCTTATTGAGTTCTAAAAATAATTTCGGGTTTTTATTACTTGTATTATCTAATGAATTTATACCCATGTAATTTTCTTTTTTATATCTTTATATTTTGTTATTATAACGAATAAATTATAATAATACAGAAAACAAAACACTTAATTTACTATAATATCAAGTTGATTATTTCATATTTTGATTTGCTAGATATCTATATATGTGATAGACGAAAGTCCAATCATTAACTTAGGTAAACTACTAAATATTTAGGTAAAATCAAAAATAATGGAATCCAAAATATTACACATAGTGGTCAAAGGCCATTTATTTACTTTTTTAATTTAAATTGTCCATTCCTTATTGAAATAAATATTTATAATAATCTCTATATATAAACGAGACTATTCTAAGTGACTGATTCATAATCAACGCAGAGACGAACCTATTAGAGCTAGGTATCGATTTATAATTTTGATATATACTATCAGTTACCCATTTCAATTCAAGAAAATGCAGTTTTCTGTCAAAGTATGTTGTGCTATGATATTAAATAAATCAAAAGGTCAGACATTGGAAATTGCAGAGATAGATGTATGAGAAGATTGTTTTTCACATAGACAATTTTATGTTAATATTTTATGAATCAGTACGCCCACAAGTTTAGTTATTCTGGCATCAAATGAAAATATATCAAATGTAGTTTGTAGAGAAGTTTTATAATAATTAATTTATCATTATTATTTACTTTTTTAATTTTTTTATTTATTTTTTTAAAAAAATATTTACAATCTGTATACGTTATTAATACAATAAGTAAATTTTTATAAATGTAGGTAGTGACATGTATGCTTGATAGAAGGTAGTGTCCAATGACACCACTTCAAATCTCATGACTCAAGTTAGTTAGTTTTTTAATAGATATCTAGGCCATTGATGTTTCAAATGACGTAATGAATTGATTGGGTTTGATATGAATTGGAGGTTGGAGATAAGTGGGTTTGGGTGGTTAGTTGTAGCTGAGTGTAGTTTTTTGTAGTATTGAGAGGCTAATTTGAGAAGAATTCGAATTTTTAGGTCGTTATGTAGGGACTGATTGCTGACAAACCATGGGGCGCCAGTTATAATTCGTAAGTTTGTAGATTGAAATGATTGGAGTCTATTAAGCTTGGAATTTTTACATGTTCCCCATATTTGTATCCCGTACGTCATGGTTACTCCTATGAATTGTTTGTAAATTAGAATTTTTGTTCTCAGAGGAAATTTGGAACGTAAAATATTTCTCAGGGTATGAAGACGCAAATTGAAGGATTTTCGTTTAGTTTTTATATGATATGCCCAATTTAGTTTTTTGTCTAGATGTATGCCTAGATATTTAACGTTGTCTTGTTAAGGGATTATATTATTGTTTATCGATACAGGATGGCTGTTAATAGAGCGTAGAGTGAAAGTTATGTGATTAGATTTGGATTCATTTATTTTAATTCTCCAAAGACAAAACCAACTTTGAAGTTTTAATAGATGATCCTGAAGAAAAGTTGAGGATCGGTGAAGAGTTGGTCAGGAAAGACTTTGGTGTAAGTAGTAAGGAGGCTCTTAGAAAACGGAGTTTGTAAAGAAGTCCCTCTGTCTACACCCGGTTGAATGCCTGGGTTAGGAAAACTGCTTGGCAATAATTTTTTGTTTCGAGGGAGGAGGAGATTATACTCGTATTTCTATTAAAGTTTTGCAGGAAAATCCGTGAAGGGTAACCCGTTATACGATTTATGATAAAAGTATATCGATTTCATATTGTCGTCGTACGGAAACCGACATTGTAGCACAGCCCCTTCTCTTTGACGTCTCTATGATCGTCGACGAATTAGTTTTAAAAATACATTATTTCCTCAGCTAGTTGCACTCAAAGGAGTTCAACCCTCATAACTATTTTACCGGGCAACACCGGATGATTCAGCTAGTATTATATATAATATTAAAATATATTATATTTATATTCATTTTCATATTATTTGTATTATTTAAAACAATACTATATTAGATTTACTAATAATTTAACTTAATTTATAGTTAATAATTAATTTATAATCTGAAGAGTATATACAATATATTAGGTATTTACGAAATATTAACATCCTTCAACTTCGATCACTTACAGTAATTAAAATCTACTTCAAAAATATACTGTCATTTACCTCATACAAAGACTAACGGAAATAATAATATATTTATTATAATTTAATAATATATTATAATATATTTAATTAAATGATTAGCGGTTACACCAGTGTTTCTCAACCTTTTTTAAGTTACCGCCCCCTTGAGTGTCAATAAATTTGTTAACCGCCCCTACAATGTAAGAACTCTATAATTAAGGGTATTTGGAAAATTTAAAAGAAAAAATTGAAATGATCTAATAACTCATGTTTTTATTTATAGAACTAGTATTATGGAAATTAATTAAAAAAAAATGAATATTGATAAATAAATAAATAAATATTAAATTAATTATTTAAAAAAATATAAATATAAATACATTTTTTATTTTCTTTAAAAATATATTGCTAGGCTTCAATGAGATGGTTGAACTTGGTGGTTTTTAGCAAGTTTTTTTATATTAGGTTCGATGTTTGTTAGCTTAAGTCGTAAATCTCCTCTTGTCACGATATCCAGTCGGTTCCTTTTTTTTGTAATCAAATCTGTTACAGTGCTGAACCCTCGCTCGACGAGGTATGAGGAAGGAAAGGCTATTAAAAATTTTTTAACGAGAGACCACAGTCCAGGATAATTATGAACTATGTTAGTTTTAAGCCAAAATTCCGTGAGCCGGTCACTACCTTTGAAACTGGATTTCAATGTTTCATCAGTTGAAAGTTCGATTAGTTCTTCTTGAATTTGTATCTCTGCTGTCTCAATATTTATAAAAGGATTCATGACCCATTGAGGAACTTCCAACGACAAAATATCCTTAAAACGTTCTGAAAAGTCCATATGTAAAGACTCGAGATGTTTATAGTAAACTTGTATGTTGTCGAAAGATATTTCACTGTTTTTGTGCAGATCAGCCAAGACTGGGAACTGGCTGAACTCTTAGCGACCAAAATTGGTCTTCCACAAAGTAAATTTTTTTTGGAATGCAGAAATAACCGATTTTGACGTTATTAAATTGAGCTCGTCACCTTGCAGTTGCAAATTAATGGCATTAAACTTTGCAAATAAATCGGTCATATAAGCAACATCGCTTTTAAATAGTAACAACCTGTCTTTGAGCTTTACATCTTTCTCTTCAAGAAACTAAAGCACAGAATCAAAAAGATTCCAAACCCTATTGAGGCAGGCACCTTTGGAGAGCCAGCGAACTTCGGTGTGTAAAAGCAAGCGATTGAATTCTTCGTCGTTTTCCTTGCATAGGTTTGTAAATAGTCGATTGTTCAACGAATTACTACGAATTTTATTCACAGCAGATATAACATATTGTAATGACTGATGCAAACGATCACTGAGGTTTTTTGCAACTAAATTTTGTCTGTGAATGACGCAGTGAATAGCTAAAATACCGGGTATTTCTTTTTTAAAAAAAGCTATGAACCCACGATGACGTCCTACCATTGCAGGTGCTCCATCAGTGGCAATAGATATAACGTTTTTAAGAGGAATATTTTTTTCTTTAAAAAAGTCTTTGACTATATTGAAAATAGATTCACCTTTAGTGTCAGTAATCAAGGTCCTTGCAAAAAGCATTTCTTGAACGATTTTTCCTTTGTTTACAAACCGGACGTATGTCAATAGTAATGCCTCATTATTCGGTAATGTTGATTCGTCGATTTGAAGTGAAAATTCGGTGGATACTAGAAGTTCACATAATGAAATTTCAACGTCTTCCGCCATTTCGTCGATTCGCCGTCGCACAGTATCGTTGCTTAATGGGACATTTTGTATTACACTGTGTGAGGCTGAATGGTGTAAAACCGTTTCTAAAATTTCTTTGACAGCTGGAAGTATTAACTCTTCGCCTATGGTATGGGCTTTTCCCGATTTTGCGATCAATTTCGATATATTATAAGAAGCAATCAAACCATCATCGCATTGTTTTGATGAGCCTGCGCATAAGCCTGAGACCGATGGTGCCTTCAGAAACTTGTCCCTAATATTTGTGAAAAACGACAAATCTTTATTTTGTTTGTCAGAATGAACTTTTTGCAAATTTTCCTGCAAACGAGATGGTTTCATTGCCTCATTGGAGAACACTTTGTTACAAATTAAACACATAGGGAGCTGTATGTTGGATGGCGATGGAATAAATCCAAACTTTAAATACGTCGTATTATATTGACGGCATTTTCTTTTTGCATCAGACATTTTTGTAAATACAATTTTATGAAATTGAAAACAATTTAAAAAAAAACACTTTACCAACCGACTGAATATAACGAAAACTAATATACAACATACGCGGGTCAAATCAAACGGTGTACTAAAAGGTTGGTTAATATAGGTACCTATAATAAAGTATAATGTCAACGCACAATCGCTAAAATAATTAAGATAATAAATTTGTCAACAATCAAAGATAAGTTATAGTGCAATGCGTAGATTTAGTAGTGACTGACAGTTATTGTATGGATTATCAAGTATGAATTATTTTTAGGTCACACCGACACCATCTACAACGTTTTTGCGTGAACCGTTTACCGTCCCTCTACCACCCAAAATTAGTTCACCGCCCCCCTACCGCCCAAAACTAGTTCATTGACCCTCTGTGACACTTCACCGCCCACTGGGGGGCGATATTGCCCCCGTTGAGAACCACTGGGTTACACCTTTCTGTCATCGTGTCTTACCGATATGGCGATCTGGTCGATGTGTGCAAATTCTAACGGGTCTGAATACAATTGGAACTTAGCTTGAGCTACACCATGTGGTGATGGTGGTAACGGGGCTTTGCCTGGATACGGTTGTACATTGTCATTGAGTGCTTCGGTTGTTTCGTCAGGTATTGTTGAATCGTCCATGTACAACGATTCGGCCATCATATACTCACTCCGCTTCTCATTAATTAGCTCCAACATTTCGCTGCTTTGTTTCTCCACTAAAGCTGCTGTGGCCGCTCTGCGAACGAAAATATTTTATGTAAACAATCATAAAAAGCGAGCAATTGTATACAACTGAATGTTAGAATACAATAATTTTTCAAATCATAATTATATTTGTATGCATAATTGAAAATTTCAAACATTTTTAATAATTTTTAAGACAAAATAAATTATTAATTTATAACTATATTAGATATAATAGCTATTACTATGCCTAAAAATTCTAAGATATGAATCCCATTCGCTCGTTGTACTCCGTTACGATATGTGCGTACCGTTTCTCCACTGTGTGTTTTATTTTTCTCTAACCACAAAAGTGTCCTATGTATAATCTCAAGATTTCTACCTATCGATCAGTTGTGTTACACTGACGCCAAAACTGCTATCTTTTCGAAATTTCACATTGATTCCAGCCCACGAGTCTCAATTTTCTGGTAATTTTAATTGTACACATATCTTACCGTTGAACCACTGTAATTATTACTTATCTATTGGAACTCCCCGCCCCAGCCGCCGGCAGTCGTTCCAATCTTATTTCATTATTATTTGACCGATAACAGACCGGCATCGAGCAGTTCAAGCTTTGATTTAATTTGATTAATAATAATGCAAATCATCATCTAAGCGTTCCAAGTATGCCAAACACTTCAAATGGTGTTTTTTCCGACGGCGAATGTCATGATATCGATTTTAAATCAGTCAAAAACAATTCAAAACTCAATCTTTCATCAACTAGCTCATCCGAATGATCTGAACTAAAAAAAAAACTCAAACCTTTTTTTGTCAGCACTAACAGATTCAATTCTCTCCCTACACTTAAAAATGAAAACTCTGTTACAACGAACGTAACACCAACAAATAACTCTAGTTAAACCGATTCTCAAACAAATCACATTCCGTTACCCCCACCGATATTCGTACGTGGTGTTTCTAATTTTAATGAATTAAAAATCAATTAATAAAACTAATCTCATCTCAAAACCTCAACTTCAAATCATCGACAACTAACTTAAAAATTAATACCACTAATTCGGACTCTTATAGCGAAGTCATTAGATATTTAAAAATTGGTAATGCGGAATACCATACCTATCAAGCTCGTGAAAATAAAGCATTTCGTATAGTTATCCGTAACTTGCATTCTTCTTCTTCAACTTCCGAAGTAGGAGCTGCCATTGAAGACCGCGGCTCTTTTGTTCGCCAAGTTATCAATATTATTCTCAAATCCGCTAAAGGTTCTCTCCCAATATTTTTTGTTGATCTTGAACCCGCTTAAATCAACAATGAGATATTCGAATTGACTTCATTGTTTCATACCAAAATAAAGGTAGAAGAACCTCATAAGCAACGCAATACTATTCAGTGCTCCAATTTTCAGGATTATGGTCACTCAAAAAGTTATTGTGCACATCCTCCTAGATGTGTTTGTTGTGCCGATTTCCATCCCACTTCACAGTGTACAAAATCAAAAGATATACCTTTAACGCGTGCGTTATGTGGAGGCGTCCACACTGCCAATTACCGGGGCTGTTCAGTTCACAAAAGCTTACAACGTTCAAATTCTAAATCAAATACAACTTTTAAAAAACATGTTAATATTAATACTTCTACTGCAAATAAGTAGGAACAGCGATCTCTTGATACGACCCATCTCATTCCACCTAACGTCACAGACAGTTAAACTTTTCCTAATCTTACTCAAAACCTCCAGAATCATAGTTTTTCAAATAAAACATATCCTCAATTTGATTCTCCCGATAATATAACAAATAATCAATTATCCTCTTTCTTGGTAGATTTTAAAAAATCGATTAACCCTTTAATTTAATTACTCACCACTGTAATAAACAAATTAATATTAAATAATGATAAATAATGAATCCTATGAAAAATCTTTTAAAATCATTCTCTGTAATGTTAACGGTCTCGAGCAAAATAAAATTTGAACTATTAAACTTTCTTATAGAAAATCAAATTGATGTAACTCTTATCACTGAAACTCATTTTACTGCCAATCCAAATATTTTTTTTCCCGGTTTCAATATTTACAAAACCAATCACCCTGATGAAGCGTCTCATGCTGGTACCGCAATTTTAATCTCATCCTCAATCCAACATCATATACTGCCGTGTTTTCAAAAACCTACTATCCAAGCAATTAATATTTCAATTTCAATAAATCATACTTCTATAACACTATCAGCAGTATACTGTCCTCCTCGACCAAGTATATCTCAACTCCAATTGGAATAACTTTTATCTTCACTAGGGTGCAAGTTTATTGATGGGAGAGATTTCAATGCCAAACACCTTTTATGGGGCAGCCGCGTTGAAAACCCCAGCGGTCGACTATTTTACAATTCTCTTCAATCAAAAGGTTTTTCAACTATTTCACCTTCTGGCCCAACTCATTGGCCAACTCACCTAAATAGGCAATCTGATTTACTTAATTTTTTTATTTTATCAATCCCCAATCATATACATTTCACTATTTAAAATATTGCGACCTATCCTCCTAATCATTCTCTTGTTTTATTAAACTTTATGGAACATCTAATTCTAGTTCCTTCTAGTCCTTTCCTTTTCAAAGATCCAGTTGACTGGAAATATTTTTCCTCAACATTAGAAAACTGTACAAATCTAAAATCCCTCTTAAAACATACAATGAAATTGAAGCCGCAGTCCACCAATTAGTAAGTTCAATTCAATCGGCTGTACACGAGTGCTTTTATCCCCTAAACCAGGATTGCCACTCCAAGCACAAATCCCATATCTTATCTCATAATATAACAATTTTAATCGCCGAAAAACCTAGAGCCCGTTCCCGTTGGCAAAGATCAAGATTACCTACCGACAAATCAGCTTTCAATAATCTGTCCTACAGCATTAAAAAATTAATTCAAAAACATAAAAACGATCTATTCAATATTAAATTCAAATCATTAAATACTCATGATAGATCATTATGGAAAACCATTAAAAGTATGCTTAAATTAAAAGAATATTCCTGTCCTATTAAAAAATTAGATAGGTCACTCACACTATCAGATATTGACAAAGCTAATTTTTTTGGAGAACATCACTCGAGTATTTCACCCAGATATTATTCCTAGTACCTCACAATTAGTCAAAATTAACAACTTCCTTGATACTCCACTTTCTATGTCTCTTCCTATCAAACATGTCTCACCAAACGAAATTGCTAATGTGATTCAAAGATTAAAACCCAAAAAATTCCCAGGTCATGACTTAATAACTAATAAGAAGCTAAAACATCTCTCTAAAAAAATAATTATGTTGTTGACTTTCATATTCAATTCTATGTTAAGACTATCGTATTTCTCTGTCATCTGGAAAATGTCCATTATTATTCTCTTACCAAAACCAGGTAAATCCCCTAACTTAGCAACTTCTTATAGACCCATTAGTCTACTTCTTGTGCTTGGCAAATTATTTAAAAAAATAATTTTAAAGAAACAAAGACCAATCGTTGAAACCTAAATTGCAGTACCCAACGCCCAATTTGGGTTTCGTGCAAATCATTCTCCTATACAGCTAGTACACAAGCTAGTCAACAAAATTTCTTTCTTTTTTGAAAATAAACATTATTGGGTCAAGCCTTTAACATAGTTTGGCACACAGGCTTACAAACAATTGAATGAATAATAAGCATTCATTGAAATACAATTAATGGGTTTATTGATTATGGTTAACAAAGCTAGATACAAGAAATACATTTCATATTCTTGCGAATTTTGACGAGGGACCAGAAAGTTGTAAGCCCGAATAAATAATTCATTCAATATTTTTAAACTAAGAAAAGTTTTTTTTTAATATTGTGATTATACTATGTATATCGTATTATGGCTATGGAAATATAATTTAACTTTATTAATATATTTACTCATTAAGTTTACATAAAATATCAAATCCAAAGAGAGCTCAAATATAAAATACCTAAACATTATCCAAATAGTTTGTATGCTAACTGGGATCAGTTGAATTCATTTTATTTGAAAATTTTAAGTTATAATAGTCTTCGATATGATAGCATAATATTAAATATAAATTACAAGAATTTAAGACTTTGGAATTCAGCATGATATTATAGAAGTTTACCTTAAAACACTCATATATAAAAAAATGGATTTACTTTCAACAAATTAAATTGGGACATCACTTTGTAGATAGATAAGTCGTTAGAAAAAATGTATTAATGAGTTGTAAAAACGTGATATAAATGAAATAAATTGTTAAAATATACATTCAAGGAGTGTAATAATAATACAGGAATGTACCGTACTTATTAAAAACAAGTTTTTTCCTAGTTTATGTCACTACGACTATCTAACGAAATGTTTCAATCGATGAACCATACGCAATAAGAACGTCTTGTGTAATGAATTAGTTTGGATGTTCCATTTTATTCACATACGCATGATCTAATATATTATATCTTAGGCATAGGCGTAAATCATCTACAATTATTAGGCAATATACAAATTCTAAAGAAATTTAAGGATTACGATATGTATCATTATACTCTCATCATAGCATGCTTTAAAATGAAGGGTGTTTAGTACCCTTAGTTCATCTACAACTTGCACCATTGCGTTGTATTTGATTACTTATTATTCTTGTTAATTTATTTTGCAGTTTAGTTGTTGAGTGTAAACTGATTTCATACGATGGTTTTTGATTTTTCTAATTAAAAAGCAAAATATTGTATTTTATATTTGTATTGTGCATAAAAAACCATAACTAATGTTTTGTTTAAATTGATAAATATAATAGTCATATTATAATTTAATTTTACATGTTTCTAAATATTTAAATTAATAAAATATTACTTAATATCAATGAATTTGATTAAAATGTAGTTGATATAAATAAACATTTTTCACATTTTTGAAGCCTAGCATAAATTAAACGTAAAAAATATATATGTCAAAACATATATACTTTTTTATATTTAATTTAATTATGTTAAAACATATTAATAGGTTGGGTTAGGTT